ATCCTACCGTGGATTGTGATCGGAGAAAGAATGCCTAAAGGATCATATAAGCGCATCACATGTGACAGCAGTATTCTTTTTGTAAAAACTGTAGGTGCTTGAGAAACAGAATTTTCACGAAAACTCAAGGTATCGGCATTGGGATTCCAAACAAGACCCAAAGTAGGAACAATAGAATTCAAATTAGTTCCTATAGGAACAGCTTCAGGTAAGGAAGCATGCAAATCAAGAGGCACAAGCCTTAGCGCTTCACGGCAATTTGATATCCAACTTCTCATTTCAAATTGTGCAAGTTTATGTAAATTTATAACGTCACGCGCCAGCTGTGCCGCTTGGTCCACGCTTTCAACACTTGCAACGTAATCATCCATGTAGGTATTTTTTAAAACCTGTTGAGACGCCTGAGGATAGAGGTGAGCATTATCACTAGCATTTTTGTTCAGCAAAAATATAGCCGTACATGGACTGGAAGTAGCTCCAAAAATCATAGACGACATACGATATTCTTTAATTGGAAGTTCGGGGCTATCTCGCCAAAGAAACCGTTGCATATCTCTATCCTCTTTTCTAATTTTAATTTGGGGAAACATTTCTCTTATATCACCCATAAGTGCAACACCATGCTCTCGCCAACGAAAAAGAATGCCTAATAGTGATTGCATAAGGTCAGGTCCAGCTAACAACAAAGAGTTAAAACTGACCCCATCAATCTTGGCGGCAGCATCGTGCACGACTCTTAGTTTTTTCTTTTGAGGATGTACAACACTAAAATGTGGGAGGTACCAAAATCTAATATTAGTAGCATTTAAATTTTCATAAACAACCTCACATTCTTCTGCGTAACCCTTTTTGATAATACTGTTTATGTTTTGACGGTAGGCAGCTGCATAATCACAATCTTTAGCTATTTTACGCTCTAGCATTTTAAGACGTTTTAAGGCGTTCTGATAACTATCTGGGATATTGGGAAGTTCATCCTTCCAAAGTAAACCAGTTTCAAATCTACCATCACTAAGCCTGACACTAGTATTTTCCAAAATTTTTATAGCACGCTTATGCAAAGGACCAATTGAATTTGGATGTTTGGTGATTCCAATTGAATCCAATTTGAATTGTTCCTTAATTAATTGTTCTAACTGTTGAAGAGAACCCTTATCTTCGGATAAGTTTAAATTATATAAAAAATGTACCGGATTTGTATTAGTTCCCGAGACACCATAGATTACCCATCGACAGCAAGAAACAGAGGACTGTATATAATTAAATAATATAACTTTTAGCACAGAGAGACATTTATTAATCAACGTACAAAAAGCAAGATACATTGACAAAGTCAAAAAATAAAAAAAATATAAATTAAAAACAAGTATAAAAACCTACTTAAAGAGGCCAGTAATAATATTTCAAAAGCATGGTAAGGCTGTCGGCAACACACGGTCTCTGCCGCATGATGGACAGCAGAATAGTTTCTGGGGCTCTCGAAACCTAAACCCCCTTCCGTGAACCTTCAATAATACTTGCATTATCTATTCAACAAAATATAAAAAAAGGTACTCCCTGAAAAATCCTTGTATTTGAAAGTGTTCACTCTCATGACATGCAATTTGTCAAATTTTATAACATTACTTGCCAGATCAGAGACTGTGAGATTTAATAATACTCACAGAATGCTGGCTCATGGGAGATAAAAACATACCGGAAATAGAAAACTATAATTACGTTAATACAACTAATCACAATACACAGAACGAGGGTGTAATTATTTATTATTAAAAAGATCTTCGTATTGCCTCCTATGAGCCAACATTGTCCTATGCAAATTGTATTGCCATGAAATTAAATGATGACACAATAGTAATAGGCATTTATCGACAACCCGCTAACCTAAACACTGACAACTTCATTTTATCACTTGATTTGCTACTAAACAGTTATGCAGGTAAAAGAAACATAATATTAATGGGAGATATAAACATTGACATACACGATGACACATTTATATTAATGAACTTTGTAAACTCAAACTAATAAATGGTAATATTTCTCTTTTGCTGATGATACTGCCCTTATGTTCAGTGCTAATACATGGAAGAAAGAATTTGAAATTACTCAATAAAGTTTCGCAATGGCTGCACCGAAACATTCTTTCACTCAATACGGATAAAACTAAATAAATCACATTTTTATGAGAAACTATAAATGACCATCTAGGACTTTAAATAAAATATGTCATACAAACCATCTTGATACAGAGCAGCAGTGTACATGTCCCAATCTTCAATATCTTACTAATATTAAATATCTGGATGTAATAATCGATAATTGTTGAACTTTTAAGTTACATATTGAACAACTTGTGAAAAGATTACGAAAACTTATATTTGTATTCAAAACCCTCAGAAAAGTGGCAAATAAACAGACTCTGAGGATTATTTATTACTCGCTCTGCCCATCGCTAATATGTTACTACTTTTTTTCTCGTTTCTCGCGCTCTGGTTGTCGCTTGTGTCTGAGAATTTTATTCGTACCTTAAAAGTGTCCTTCTTTTGTTTTTGATCTTTTAAAAATATTATTATTTGTCCAGTTGTATGCACAATCTATGTTCAGCAGTGGACGTCTTCCGGCTGATGATGATGATGATGATGATGATGCACAATCAGCTATTTATTGTTCTATTTTCCATGTAATGCTAGGTTGCCTGGAAGAAATCGATAATATCGAAGACATAGTTTGACGTTTGTACTTAGTTATGTAAAATAAGTATTCATGTATGTCCTTGTTGTGCAGTATTTTACTGCAATTTAAACCGAATGCACTAACCCACTAAGCTATCGGACCTCTTATACCTAAGATATACTAATATTATAAACAGGAAAGATTAGGTTGATTGTTTGTTTGCATCGAATTTGCCCCAAAACTGGATCAATAGTTTCAGAGCGATTCCGGATGTCATGGGATATAATTTTGCGGCAAAGTCGCGGGAAAACAACTAGTTCATTATACCTTGTGAAAACTTATCTGCGGCATGCCTGTGGAGTATAAAGGCAACACGGGTTGGCGATAATCGAAACTACTTTCTCGATCTCTATTGTGCAAACTGCGAGCTCTTTTAGAGATCAAGCACATTTCTCTATCAAAGGAAGTTTCATACTCATACCATACTGCATGTATGTTACGATCAGCAGTTAGACGCGCTATGCGATCTTCAGAAGTTTCCTGAAATCAAACGCTTGTTGTATGAGTTCTCCGAGATCTCAAGAGATTGGCCCTGACGGTAAATGCTTCAGATTCAACTTTATAGTGCATGTGCCTGGCGATGGGTAGTTAAATACGCTTCGCGTTTTTCAGGTGTCTCCCGAGACGTTTTCGTTTCAGTTTCCGTCCGATCATTGTCTATAAAAGTCGGTCGGTACATGTCTGACGGAAGATACGAGGAGTTTTATTTATTGATATAAAAAAATATATACATATTTTAATTTCGACTTTCCACACTCGAAAGAAATCGTCTAATAACACATACTTCCGAGAGGGGCTTAACTGAGCTTCCGTCAGATTTGAACGGCGCTTACCATCATCATCACGTTTACATCAGCCCTTTTACGTCACCAACTGCAGGAGCCTTATAGATGTATCAGTAGTTTATTAAATTTGAAAAAAAAATATATATAACTACATTGCTTCATCATCATGAGTATCCTATTAATGTCCCCACTGCTAGGGATCAGGCCTTCCTTATGGGTGGTTAAGGAGGATGGGCTACGACCCTCCACGCGGCCCAATGCGAATTGGAGGGTATTAACGACTGCAAATGCAGCTGGGACCAATGACTTAATGTGCTAAGCACTGCTTGGTGCTTGGGAAGGCACATCGAGATATTTATTTGTTGGGCAACCATCCCGTGACCGACTCTTGTTGCTTAACAACAAGAGTCGGTCACGGGAAGTTGCTTAACAACAACGATCGCATGCCACAGCGCTTATCCAATACGCCACCGAGCTACTCAACTACTAAAGTAAATGGGTACATATAACTTGGTTAATATTGATGCCACGATAAAACAAGAAAATTTTGTATTACCGCTAGAGGCGCTGCGCTGGTTACTTCACAGAATAAGATAGCGCTCATTATTGAAGGTGAACGTAAATGTCAATAAAACTCACACAAAGCTGTCAAAGTGACCTGGTCTTTTTCATAATTGAGTTGTCAAATTAATAAAATATTCTAACCCGCATTTATTTAATCGTATAGTGAAACAAATAAATTTAGCTCCAAGATTCACTTAAGTAATGGTTTATTGATTTCTAATATAAATAATTTGACAATTTCCTTGAAAAATTCATTCACAAATGCACCTTAAAAATTCATATACTGACCATCATTTTCTCGATGTTCTCGATGTCTTAGACATCTATTATTCAAGTAATAGCTAATATTATTCAAGTAATAGAAAGAATAATTTAGTTATTCATTATTTATAATGTGTCCTTAAATAATCCCTATCCATAGAATGTGCATTCACTATAATGATATTAGTGCCAGTTGTGATATTTTCAACTGTATTATACCCACAATTAGAAATTTAAATGAGCTAGGGCCTAAATTATTTTAATTATTTTAAATTATTTTATTTTTACCATAAGCAAAACTCTTAATAATCTTATCTTAAAATATCAATTATCATTGGACAAAAGGATATACCAAAGTCATTTATTGTAAGATTTATTATTTTATTGTATGTTTTCATATCTGTTACTTGTCAGTGTGCCTTAATAATAAAATATGATTAATTATCATTTTCCCCGTGGAACAGAGCGCCAAAATATACGATAAATTTTATTTAGACCGTTAGTAACTAACTAAATAATTAATACAGATAAAGCAACAATTATCTGTATTAATTTTTATATAATATCAGTTGTTGTGCATTTAAGTATATGGCCAGTTACTAGTTGGTTTACTCTTTTTGTGTGATACGCGCTTGCGCAACACAATATTACATCATGCAGTTAGTGTTGTTAAGTAAAATGAGTAGACTAGTCGTCTTGTTGTGTATGCTGCACTGTGCTTTTAGTTATAAGATTTTGGTTTGTTACCCTATCCCGGCGAAAAGTTTGAACAGCTTAGGCGTAGGTGTTGTGAGACTTTTGCTAGACGCTGGTCACGAGGTGAGTTTAAATAAGTACCTGTTTTTAGATCGAGCTATAAAAGAAGTTCATGAAAACTGAACTCTTTTTTGTTTTCTTTTTTTTAGCTATAGAAAGCTCTTTTTATTTCATTATTACTATAGGTTTATAAAACGCACTTTAAGATCTGTAAAACTGTATTTTTTTCAAATCGGATTACATTTAATATATTAACAATGAAGTTCAAATATGTATCCAGTTTTCAGATATTTTATGGTATCCCAATGTACTGATGTATGTACTAGGTACACGATTAACTTGTATACAAATACCTATATTATAGACAAATAAGTCCTAAAATCAAGACATTTCGAAATGTAATTTATGGTTAGTCAAAAATACTAAAACATAATAAATCATTTAGAGTAGCTCGGTAGCGTAGTGGATAAGCGCCGCGGCCCACGATAGTAGTCGTTAAGCAACTTTCGCAAGGGTCGGTCACGGGATGGGTGACCAAAAAATTATTATCTCGAGCTACTCCGTGCTTCGGAAGGCACATTAAGCCGTTGGTCCCGGCTACATTTGCGGTCGTTAATACCCTCCAATCCGCATTGGGCCAGCGTGGAGGGTCATGGCCCATCCTCCTTAACCATCCATAAGGAAGGCCTGAGCCCCTGCAGTGGGGACGTAAAAAGGCTGGTGATGATAATAAATCTATGAAATAATAATTAAAAATTCGATTTCTACACTGTTCTGCCCAGCCCAGGAATCAAACCTGGGACCAAGGACGACAACACCAAACTCGCCCGTTGCTATCATTATCACCAGCCCCACTGCTGCCCGCCTACCCCACTACTGGGGCTTAGGCCTCCCCTATGGATGGAATCGAATAGGCATAATGGGCCCATGACACCCCACGCGGGCACAGTGCGGATTGGTGGGTATTAACGACTGCAAATGCAGCTGGGACCAACGTTTTAATATGCTTTCCGAAGCACGGAGGTCGAGATAATAAATTTTTGGTTACCCATTGACCGGAAATAGCGAAAGTTGCTTTGCAACCGTATCGTAAACCAAGCTCGCTAACCACTGAGCCATCGAACTCTTCATTGCTTTAGAACTTCAGAAATAGAAATTGGAATTAAAAATCTATTTTTCTAAAGTGTTATAAAAATAAGCTTATTTTCTTCTCAGGTAACATACGTAACTCCATATCCTAAGCAAGATACACATCCGAAGCTGACACAAATCGACGTCAGTGACAATGTGAAATTGATAGAGAGTAAGCATTATCAAATTATATTATAAAATCAACTTATATTGACGAACTTCAAGATATTTTATTGAAAAGTGAAAAGGGGTTATAAAATCCTAATACATTTGAAAAATATGCGCTACAAAATTAACTATTTTCTTTTTAATAAAAAGTTCAATATTATCAAAATCCAAGTTCCTCAATCTTTATAACACGAACTAAATTACAGTTCAGAGGAAAATTAGTAATATATTTATTTTACTGGCAGTGTATATTAGTTAATCCTGCAAATTATACCCAACCTACTAAGCTGAATTTTAGCTTAGCTTTAGTTTAACTACTTATAAAGCTACGATAGTATGGTGGACGGCCCAAGATGGCGACCTAATTGTTTTCTCTTCATTGTTACAATATGGCTAACAAATAAAAGGGTTTACTAAAAAATACCAAAATTATAATATACTAAATTTTGTAGCATTGAAATAATAATAATAATTTATTCATAAATTACGTTGTTCAGATTGTAGTTATTATGACAGAATTTATTAAGGTAATGTTGGCGTATAATATATAGCTTATATTTAATTTTTTTACGTAACTAGTCAACATTTAGTCTGCACCATGTAAATTTATTTATTTATTTATAAAATCATTACAATAAGTAATAATCATTCCAAAACCAATTATTATTACTTATTGTAGTGATTATATTTAAAATTTAGTGCAGGAACGCAATCAGTTCACCTCTTTCCTATTGATTTCTCTATCTTCCTTGTTACAATTTTGGCTCTAAGAAATCATGAAACTTTAAACACCAACGTTTCAATACGATCATATATATTATCTAAGACAAGTATGGCAAAATCCCTTTAACTTGAATTAAATTATTACAATTAAAAAAATACCGATCATTACTGTCATTACGGACAGGACTGTTCCTGCGAACAAGCCTGATATCGTACTGATGGACCGGGCGGAATCTCGGGAGTTCTTAGTGGATGTCACCGTCCCATTCGATGAAAACCTCGTGAAAGCCGAATCAGATAAAAAACTTAAATATCTGAACCTGGCGCACGAGGTTACCGATATGTGGCGAGTGTCATCCACTGAGATCATCCCAGTCGTAGTGTCAACGAATGGCCTAGTTCCAACTTCTCTTCACGACCATCTGAAGAGGTTGGGACTCCGTGACGGACCAATGATTGCGAGGCTCCAGTGGGCGATCTTGCTCGATAACGCAAGGATCGTCCGCCGTTTTCTCTCTTTGTCGCCCTGACCCCCGGCCGTCTGGCCTCCTCTGCCGGGGGGAATCCTCCCACCCCTCGAATCGTCGAGAGGTCGGGAAGAGTAAATTTTTAAATACAAAAATAATAATAAATATCTTTATTTCTCCTCACAAATTCACATACTACACTATGGGTACACACATTTTTTGTAGATTATTTTACACTTTAATTTGTGGGAGACTGGTATCTATAGTAGGCTTAGCCTGAAATAATAAATCACCAGGTTCCCACCCCACGATTGATCGAACATATCCCTTATTTTCTTATAAATTTAAGTTATAGGCACTACAAACACCATTACTGTCAACCTCGACCTTTACGTTAATTCATAACACACAGTAAAAACAAAACACTATATTTAATCAATGGCATAATTTATTTTAAAGGTACTATCATCTTCTCTGTTTCATCATATGATAGCTCTAATAGCCGGCTTTTAAGTTTTTATTTACAGTTAAATTTTGTTAATGAAAAAATAGTCAATTTACTTTTGATTTTATTATACAGATAGTTCCCCACAAAAAGGAAAAAAATGTGATTGGATGATGCAAACTTTACCTTTTCTTCCTTTTTTCATATTTATTTCAATGTGGTAACTTAATTGATCGTGAGTAGGTTAATAAAAGGAAAGGTTAGCACCGACTTTGAGAATAGCTCTCTGTACTTTTTCGATTAGTAATATGTGAGACTTAGCTGCCCTGACCCAGGATGAGATACAGAGACACATAAGCGATTGGCAGAGCGAGTAATAAATAATCCTCAGAGTCTGTTTATTTGCCACTTTTCTGAGGGTTTTGAATACAAATATAAGTTTCCGTAATCTTTTCACAAGTTGCTCAATATGTAACTTAAAAGTTAAACAATTATCGATCACTACACCCAGATATTTAATATTAGTAACACGTTGAAGATTGGAACATGTACACTGCTGCTCTGTATCAAGATGGTTTGTATGAGATATTATATTTAAAGTGCTAGATTTATAGTTTCTCATAGATAAGTGATATATTTAGTTTTATCCGTATTGAGTGAAAGAATGTTTCGGTGCAGCTATTGCGAAACTTTATCAAACCCAGATTGAGCAATTTCAAATACTTTCTTCCATGTATTAGCACTGAACACAAGGGCAGTATCATCAGCCAAAAAGAAAATTTTAGCATTTATTAGTTTGAGTTAACAAAGTTAAAAATAGCGTCGGACCAAGAATACTGCCCTGTGGAATACCATAGGTGACAGGTAGTTCAGTACTTACAACTGTGCTTTGACACTTGAAACCTATTAGTGAGGTAGTCTTTGAATAGCGAAAGTATTGAGACCGTGTCAAATGCCTTGGCCAAATCAAGAAAGTAGCTAAACATTTATCCTTCTTATCCTTTCTAGTTACAGTGTGATCGACAAGTCCATGAACGGCATCATCAGTGCTCTTACCTGATCGAAAACCAAACTGTGACTCAGAGAGTAATTTATTTGTTTCCAAAAAGTTAACAAGACATTTGTTCATTAATTTTTCTAGGACTTTGGATAATATAGGCAAGAGTGATATGGGTCTATTCTTTTTCTTTTAGAAATATAAATAGTTTCTGTATCAATATTTATTAAATTTGTAATACTTTGAACAAGATATGAAGTGGCTAAATTTACATCAGTCGTTTTTATTATAAATTGAAGATTCATATTTTATATATCTTTTACTAAATTTCATGTTTGATTCAGTCAAATTGTAATTTACAATTTGACTGAATCAACAGCACTAGAGAAGTTAATGTCAAAAGGGTTTAGCCGGATACGTATGACGAGTCGGCCCCCAAATGGGAATCGATATTGAAACTTATGTTTTAATATAGACTTGATGTTCAAACACGATTTATGTACTTTTCGCGACCGACTTCCGCTTTGACCTTGAGATAGAGAGCAAAATATCCCTATGCTTGACTATTACTGAATGTGATATATCTCTGAAGCTAATTAAGATAAAGAAATGAAACTAACGCGAGGTGTAAGGTTACATTACAGAGTATATCACATATATTTTTTTATAATTTTTAGAATAAAAAATTACATTAAAAAAATAAAAAAAAAACATGTTTTTTTTCTGAGTTCTCTATGACTTACAATCACGAAATTATTATATGTTATGCTCCTTTGTGTGCTCTATCACCCATAAAAATTGCGTGAAAAAAAAGTTGGTGCAACACAACGAAAAAAAATTATATGTGATTCGCGCCTTGTAGTGTGAGTGTATAAACAAACAAGTTCGAACTTGTTATCGAGCTGTTTACTGCATCGTTTGTTTAGCTAAAGTAGCAGTCATTTGTATTACACAAGAAGGCAGTTTGGGACTCAAATTCTGTCATAGGTATTTTGTATCAGCATTTTGAAATTATTAACTATCGAACCAAATCATTATTAAGTAATAATGTCGAGAGTGTGTAAAAATTGTAACAAGTACCTGTGTAAGATATGTTGTAAGATTCCTGGTAATAAAAAAATTATAAAGAATGAAGAAGAAGCTAAAGTGTTTAGTGACTGTTTGAATAAAATCGTAATAGTTAATGATATTTTATGTAAGAAATGTCGACTTATCCCATATATTAACAAAAAAGCTTCTACTTCTAAATGTGCAGCATTTAACTTGGCCGAAATAATGGACGATCAAAATAATCTCTCAGTACAATATGTGAAATCAGCACCTAATATCATCAAAGCAGAAGTAAAATCAAGACATATAAATAGAAAAGTCTATCGAATTTACATTCACTATATTTCCGAAGGTAATGACTACAATAGTATTCTTCGTTATTGCTGTGATTGCCCCAATGGCAAACGTACAGTGGCATGCTGTTCTCATGTAGCAACTATTATTTATTATCTATCATATGGATGATATTTGTCCAAAATCGTACGTCCTGCTGAGGTCCTAACTAAGTTATTTGCGACTCAAAGTGTTCCGATTGTAATTAATTACAACAGTGACGATGATTAATATTTTGTTTCTTGTATTTTGATAGACACGAAAAAGTAATAATAATAAGTATTGAACACTGGCTGTTTTTTTTTAAATTTCTTTTTTTAACTATTATTCCATCTCTTAAGACTAGTTACTTATGTTTTAAAACAAGCTGATGTGAAATTTCGAAAAAAAAGCAATGATGTAATGTGAAAACCTTATAATACAGGGGTATACCATAAGACAGAAATCACATATAATTTTTTTTCGTTGTGTTGCACCAACTTTTTTTTCACGCAATTTTTATGGGTAATAGAGCACACAAAGGAGCATAACATATATTAATTTCGTGATTGTAAGTCACAGAGAACTCAGAAAAAAAAACATGATTTTTTTATTTTTTATATTTTTAATGTAATTTTTTATTCTAAAAATTATAAAAAAATATATGTGATATACTCTGTAATGTAACCTAACACCTCGCGTTAGTTTCACTTCTTTATCTTAATTAGCTTTAGAGATATATCACATTCAGTAATAGTCAAGCATACGGATATTTTGCTCTCTATCTCAAGGTCAAAGCGGAAGTCGGTCGCGAAAAGTACATAAATCGTGTTTGAACATCAAGTCGATATTAAAACATAAGTTTCAATATCGATTCCCATTTGGGGGCCGACTCGTCATACGTATCCGGCTAAACCCTTTAGAGCAACACTGTCATGATCGGTAACCGATGATTGAATCACAAAACAATCAGACATAGATTTATTATTGTCTTGATACGAGTGGGAAGAGTGTGAGCAGGTAACATTCTATGAGATGCTAGCATATTAAGATAATCCTCCGATCGTTTGTCCTTTGTGTCATTGTGTATGTCAATATTTATATCTCCCATTAATATTATGTTTCTTTTACCTGCATAACTTTTTAGTAGCAAATCAAGTGACACAATGAAGTTGTCAGTGTTAAGGTTACCGGGTGGACGATAAATGCCTATAACTATTGTGTTATGATTTAATTTTATGGCTATACAGTTTGCATCGGACAATGTTGGCTCATAGGAGGCAATACGAAGATCTTTTTAATAATAAATAATTACACCCTCATTCTGTGTATTGTGATTAGTTGTATTAACATAATTGTAGTTATCTATTTCCGGTATGTTTTTATCTGCGATGATCCAGCATTCTGTGAGTATTATTAAAGCCCACATAGTGTCTGATCTGGCAAGTAATGTTATAAATTTTGGCAAATTGCATGTAACACTTCTCATCTATTAAATATAAAAATAAAAGAAACGAAAAAAAACAGTGAAGATTTTTTTTTAAATTAAAAGCTTCTCTGTGTCCTCGTGTAACACCGTGTGCAAGGTTTCTTACAATTTCTATATTTTTATGAGTAAATGTGCACTATCACGTTTAATCTATTATATAATAGCGGTCCTGGGAAGGTATAGAATGTTATTGTAAAATCGTATTTCTTTAGTTCTTTTAGTGCGAACTATATCCTTTCGTCTTTTGTTGGTAATTTCAGTGTTATAAGAATTAGCGGCGTGTTGTTTTAGTACAATGCTCATAATTAATAATTGTCGAACTGTTAAAACCTTACAATTTTCATAAAGCAAATTAGTAGGGTAAAGGAAAGTACGGAAAGAAGAAACCTTGAGAATTGCTCTCTGTGCTTTCTCGGTAGAAATAATAATAATGTTTTACCCACACCTTCCCACGTAGTTATACAGTAGGTTAATATTGATTCACATAGTTCCTTATAAATTGGTTTGCCTTATTATTGTAAAATCTTAATATGTCTTAACTTTAAATAAACAAATATCATCTTACGAACTCTATTATTTACATCTTCAATGTGTTGCTTAAATGAAAATGTTTCTTACAATAATACCGAGATATTTAATAGCACTGAACATTTTATTTTTTTGGACATGTATACACTGGTTATCGTCGTGTTATTTCTACAATAACACGCACATAATCTTAAAATATATACAGTTCGCTATGAATTACGCATTGAAAACTTAATATGAGTTTCATTTAAATTGATTATTAATAAATTATTCCGAAGCCATTTATTAGTCACAATAAACGCGTTACACTAGTCAGTAAACTTCTTCCTCTGTCTCAGTCGAGAAAAGAAGGCAGTGTCATTCGCGTACGTCACAATGACACCCTGATCTAGCTTTGGATTACGGAGGTCGTTAATATAAACTAAAAACTCCAAAGGAAGTACTATCTAGTTCAACACTTTCAGTTGTGTGCCTCCTATTCCTAGGATTTAGGTTCTATTCCTGTTTAATCGGAGCAGGAATGGTATCAAAAGCTTTTTCAAGGTCAAGTAAGATCCTTAAGGTGTGGTTTCCCCTTTTCATGTTTTGTGCTAAATATTCTGTCAAATTATGTACGGCATTAGAAGTTAATAATTTGGAGCTGAACCAAATTGCGCCGAAGACAAGGTAGACAATATAGATTTTTCTTCTAAATACCTTTTGTTTATGATCCTTTCTAATGTTTTGGATAGAGAAAACAAGATAGAAATAGGTCTATAATTTATAACCTGATCTTAATTTCCAGATTTATAAATCCGGACAACGATTCCTTTTTTAAAACATTCGGAGACATAACCTTTACTTAGGCATTTAAAAAAAATTGTTAGTAAAGGAACCAAAATATTCATTAAAAGTTAAAAAAACTGTCAATATTTTTTCGACTTAAAAGTTAACTTGTCAAACCATATCTTAACTTCGTTAATTATCGATTTACGGTTTAACGATTTTCTGTCTAGCTTTATATTTTTTTAAATAAAATTAAAACTTAAAATCCAAATCTAAACTCTATGCAGTTCTCGTTAGTTCATTAAGTATAATTATTAATTTTGAAACTCGCAAGTAGTTATTTGAATAATCTCTACATAAAGTGATTAGTTTATGGCATTATCCATACAGTTTAGTTTTTGTTTGGTCTGGGTATGAAGTGGCAAATGAAATTTATACTTAATATCACCTTAAATTTCACAGATCAAGATGCGATGAACATTACCTATCTTCTGGAGAACGAGCAGAAATTTAATAATGAAATTGAGTGGCTACAGGAGCTGGCATACCAAGTATCCGTAAACACGTTAGAAAACGATGACATGAAGAAACTCTTAGAGAACGTTAAGGCGACATTTGACGTTGTGATAGTCGATTTATTGGAAGCAGATCTGTACGTAGGGTACGTATATGGGAATATGAAATTATAATTTGCACTGCTATTTATTTTCAAAACACCCTCGATTTCACCGACGAACGTAGCACTGTCAGAGAATTTCAGTCAAATAAAAACTACTTTAAATATCAGTTCGAGGTTGTTTTAAATAGAATAGCATAGCAGTTTTAAGACGCCGAAACGTCGATCAGCCGAATAGCTGAATATTACACAACATTCTACAGTACGATTGTACGATGGTCAGCCAGCTCGACTGGTGACTTTTTGTCTCCTTTTACTACTAACAGTTCTCAAAAAACATTCCTTATAACGCCTTATAACTTTATACTCCAAACAGTAAAAAAGGTTGGCATGTACAAAATTTTCTCAACATTAAAAACCCAATCATTCACATTTTTTTACACGATTTCGCTAAACAGGAGTGTATTAATTTGTAAAAAACTTAAGGGATATGCATGTATCGGGAATACCCTAATCTAATCTATTCTAATGGTTATAATTAGTAACGTAATCATCCCAAGTGACGTTGTCTACTAATTTTTCAAAAAATATTATTTTCTTTAATTATAGCTATATGGGTATCAAATAAAAAGAAGCCATAATACAACTAGTTACTTTTATTTTAAATTCGATTTTTAGAGTCGTGTTTTAAATGTTTAATAACAAAGAACACCAATTCAAGGCGATATTAGCAGTCTACCTAAGAAAATCCAGATTATTCAGAGCAGAGTAAACCTTTGTAGTGTTAGAGAATTATGAAAAAGATTAGCTGGACGGAAAATAATCGCACGATTAGGTACTGGGAATCATTAACGAAAAGAGACGGCTACTAGGGCTACCGCGTAAGAATATTGGCTTTAATTTAATTGACATTGGATTGCACTTAACATTTAATATGTATTGCTAGTCAAATCAAAGCGAAGTTCGTCACGACTGCGTGACTGGCATGCTAGAAATCATAAAAAACGGACAAGGGAGAATATATGGACACTTCAACACAATGACTTCTTTAAAATGGCTGTAAGCAATCATAATCTAGTGAGAACTAAAACTATTATTGTGATACTATCGGGAATTATTTGGCATGCAAAGAAAGTTACGATAATCTACTAATTTACAATAATTGATCATCAATAGCGTTTCTATAACGATCCCGTTACAATTGTTACTCAATTATCAAGTATGTTTATGTAGTATAATAGCGCAGTACTGCAGTATATTCTGGTCCAAAAAAATAATGGAAATAAAGATGAGCTGTGTGCTTATGTTCCCTAGAAACGACATTGTCAAGTGCGAGTCGTACGAAAAACGAGTGGTGACAAAACGACTCCAAAAGAATCAAATAATAATTCTTATTAATTTAATATACTCAATTTTGATTGGGGCGAAATTTTGATGACCATGTTTTTATACGTCTGAGTTCAATCGTAGTTTGAATTTGTCATAATAAGTATTATTTCACTATTTTCAAGTTTATTTACGAAAATAAACATTTTTATTTTAGATTTCCTCTATGACAAACAACAGATCAAGATAATTTAGGGATGTAGTTCTCTCAGTTTCTTTTTTTATATTAAAACAAAACTACTGATATTATTTCGTTAACGTTTTAACGGGATTAAATCGACAATATACTTTTTAATTCAAAATTAGTGCAATACAAAATATAAACAAGAAAACAGTCAAATCCTTTTAAATTTGTTTGAAGTTGGTAAAAAATAAACGACTATAAATACTAATACCACGGAGTTGTGGGCAAAGGCTATTTAATAAATATATATGAAACTTTGTAGCTGTGAGAATAATTCAGCACTTTAACTTATACTCGTAATAGTTTGCGAGAAATTAAAAACCATTTTTGCAACTCGCCATTTTTTGTCCCTATCTAATTTCCAGTTGCAGTGGATATTAGATGCGGGCAGTTTTTTTACGTTACACCTCTTAATTCACAGTTTAGCAGCTTTGTATGATGTTCCACTGATATGGGCTTATTCAGCGGGAGCCCACTCGACAGCCCTCAGGTTAATTGATGATCTCCAAAACCCAGCTTCCTCTACGGACTTCTTTATATCAGTTTACCCACCGTACAGCATCACAGAACGATTCCATGTATTATACAAACAGTTGGAATGGCGATACATTAAATAGTAAGTACAAAATAAGGCTAAGGCAAACGCACAAATGTGTCTATTATTTCATAGCTGCGTGTCAAAACTCGGTAACCACATTGAGCTTACAACGCTTACATTTAACTATATCGGCTACATATTGCAAAGAGGCGATGACATTCTAGAAATAAAAATGTTTTCTGGATAAAAAAAATAAATTCTATTTAGTCCGTCAGTCAGATACGTATTTTTTTTATATGCATTAAAATTGTCTTTCTACGTCACAACTATCTTGAAAATGTATTAATTCCCTAAATATAGTAAAGCTATTACCGCGTATAACTTTCTGTGGTATGTGTAATATATTGAACTTACATCGTAAACGAATTATCGTTTTATTAAGAACCCACTTCAACACATTCTTCTACAGTTGCATCTCAAAAGAATCCCAACTACTTGTATTTCACCATTGTACTTTCTACCTAAAGTACAATATTATTAGTGATATGTCTTCCTCACACATCAATGATGACATATCCTATTATCCTATTAATATTATAAATGTGAAAGTTTCTTTGTTAGGATGTTTGGATGTTTGTCGGCAATCACGCCGAAACTAATGAACGGATTTTGATGAAATTTGGTGTACAGATAGGTTATTAGCTGACTTAGATAACAGAACTTTTTATCCCACTAAACATTTCCCTAGGGACCACGCGGGCGAAGCCGCTGGCGAAAGCTAGTATATAATAATATTGAACTTCAAGTAGATAGTAGAATTGCTAGATAGATTCTATTATTACGTAAACATCGGCTGAATAGTCCTGCTGCATAGTAAAAGCGAGTATCGAGTTATTGTCAAGATATTCATAAACACAATTACCGGTAACTTCTCTGGTATCTTCTCGTCATTATAATTGTTACCGGTATATTAGTGTACCCATCACTTGGTCACGGGCTTTCCTTGTGAATGGAATCTAATCGAATAGAAAGATTATTCCTTGATCTGCAATGTAGATTGGGGGATAATAACGACTGCAGATTCAATCGGGATCAACCATTTATCATCCAAAACGCGGAAAAGCTCAAGATAGTAAATTTTTATTCACCCATCTTACGACCGGCCCTTACGAATGTTGCTTAACTTCATACTTTAGACAATTAACACAATAATTTTATTAATTAATTACACACTAAACCATTCCTTATTACTGAAACATAAAATTGTATCATGTAACTGTAACATTATATTTTTAATTATTTTAGCTTTAAAATAAAGCCAAAAGAAGAAATGTCTTACAAAGCAATATTTGAACCACTTTTTGCTGGACGAGGAAGACAGTTACCTTATTATGACGACTTGATATACAACGTGTCATTGATCTTGAGCAATGATCACCACGCGAGCGGCAAACTTCCCAGTTTACCACAAAATTGGAAACTAGTTGGAGGATACCACATACAAGATCCACCTTTACCCTTACCGGAGGTATTTTAGAAAGCTTCCTTCATATAACTAATAATTAAATTGTATCAAAAGTTTATTTTATTAGCTAACATTTAAGGTGAACGTCGATTGAACAATAGACATGTTTTTCTATATATTCATTCGATTTTTATATGTTCTAATATCAATTTAAGAGAGGGTTTAAGTAAAAAGGCTATTCCTGTCCGTCTGACTGCGCTCGGCAAAGGTGGCAAATTATATAATTGTTAATTATATACTCCCAAAATATTTCGATTATTGTATGCATAATTTCTTCGCCTACAAAATACTCACATATTTTTCAATTTATCTATAAAAAGGGTACAATTATAACAAGAAATGGAAATAAAATTGGGGTAACTTTTAGAGAAAATTTTAAAAATTCCATACTCTGACTGTGACAGAAAAATATGGTTTATTTTTAATCGACTTACTCGGAAACCTCTTATTTCTTTGAACAAGACCGTTCTATACTTATTGGTTTTGGGTGTACTCCCCTTCTAAGCTTCAACTTTATTAAAACTGGCATAGGTTTTTTAACTGCCAAGTAGATTTTTTACCGCTCCCATAAGGTGGGAAAGCCAAAATGTAGGGGTAAAATGTAAGCCAAAATGTATACCCACTAAAACTAACGACTTAGGGACAGGAATAGGCAAAAGCACACTTACCGCGCCATTCCGGTCTACTTTCGGGCCTGCAGAGCGGGTTTCTGTATGAAGCCTTGTACTAATATTTTATATATTTCTTTTAAGGTGCTTATCCACTGCCTCTGCTCGCACACACCGATCGCACGACACACAACGCACGGATTTGTTGACGTTGGATTAAGCTGATGACGTCATATGAATTTTTAATACGAGTAGAATCCATTGCGTGTCTTACGGCCGGTGTGCGCATGCTGACATATCGACATTCATCTTTATTCGTGACTAATTTATTTTGATTAGGACTTGCAAGCAATAATGGAGGAATCAAAACATGGAGTGATATACTTCAGCTTGGGATCAGTATGGAAAAGTGAAACAATACCGAAAAGGCTGATAGAAGATCTGTTAAAATTATTTGGAAGTTTAAAGCAGACGGTCTTATGGAAATTCGAAACTGATTTACCTAATGTACCGGAGAACGTTTATATTATAAAATGGGCACCTCAGCAAAGTATACTTGGTAATAATTTTATACAAACTGATACTTGAAAAATAAATAATGAATTATATTATTTTGAACAAACTTAAAAGAAATGTCAAAAGGCTTTTTGAGTGAAATAGACAGGCCGAGGACATGAATACATGTACTTGCTTTTTACGTAACTCTATATATCTATCAAAGAGCAATCAGCAGAGATGACTAAACGTGGGGAAAAATAATTAATACAGGTTGTAGTACAAAAGGCGTTTGTTCATAAGTCAAATCCTTGTACTGCGATTTCTGTAGTATTAAGAGTTTCTGTGTTTTAATATAAATTGCCATTTTTTCAGCACACCCAAACTTAAAAATGTTCATATCACATGGTGGCCTTTTATCGTCAACCGAGGCTATCCACTTTGGTGTCCCAACAATTGGTATACCAATATCTTATGACCAATTTATCAACATCAACAAAGCAGTCAGCAGAGGTTATGCGCTTAAAGTCAGATTGACCTATGATTTAGTGAAAGATCTGAAACTTGCTATAGAAAAATTGTTAAGCAATCCAAAGTAAGTTTCTTTTTTTACTGAAATAGAACTATTTCATAAATATACTCCGGAAATCCAAAGTAAGTTTCTTTTTTTTACTGAAATAGAACTATTTCATTAGTATACTCCGGAAATACATAAAGCATCAGAGGATAAAGTACTACCTACGTCAAAGGGACATTAACAAATTGAGACTGACAGTATCCTATACTTCGAAATAACGCCATCATTAACTTTTTTACAACGCAGGTTTACATTATGTTTGCTTTATTTTTTTAGTATAAAATTAAAATCATAAAATTGATTTCAGATATAAAGAGAACGTGAAGGCTTTATCAGCTATTTACCACGACCGGCCAGTACCTCCTGGTAAAGAGTTAGTCCACTGGGTAGAGCACGTAGTAAGGACTCGTGGAGCGGTACACTTAAAGTCTATCGTCCTAGACGTGCCATTCTACCAGAAGGCGTATTTAGACATCATGGTTCTAGCATACTTAACCTATAAACTGATTACGTATGTCTGGAATAGTATTTTCTCAAAACAGCGTAGGAGATACAAAAAAACTAAGACTAATTAAGAGTTAAGTTACAATTTGATAAAGTAATAATAAAAGGCATATCATAAATACTAGTAAATTGGTTTTATTCATTCTTTAACAATATTTTATTCAGATTAGGTTTTTTTAATTGGCTTGACTTAACCTAATGCGAGAATTTGTCGGTTTGAGGTCGGAAATTTGATCTAAGTCGGACGCTAACTTACTAACTTAGATTTTAACGATTATTCCAAGTCTCTACAAGTAAGTAAATGTAGGGTTTTTGCTAAGAACAAATTTATTTTATCTGTCGAGCTACTGATATTCGTTAGCTTGTTTCTTAGCGATTTATTATTTATAATAACTCGCTAAGAAACTAAAACTATTATTATTATACGTAATATTTTTCTATGAGATCAATAAATATTCTCAAAGATGGCAGCATATTTTAACGACAGTACAATAAATCGTAATGCTATTTAATACTTCAATATATACATTTCGTAACGTCAATATAAAGCTAATAGCAACTGTCAACTTCACGTTTTTTGTGGGAAAACGGCCATAATAAAAAAAGGAATTTTAAAACATACGATTTAATGTTCTTTTACTATCAAATATTGATTAGATAATGGACTCTACGGAGTTCTTTACACAATAATTAACGGATTGACAATAATTAACTTAAAAATATTTTTCTGTTACTGGTTATGATGATGTCCTTTATATTTCCAATGCATTCTATATAATATATAATTGACAAACAAACGTACAACAAAATGTCTATGCATACTTAATTTTACTGTATGCCGCTATCACGTATATCGTATTTCCTAAATATTGAGTGGCGATTCTGCCATTTGCATTAAGTCCACCTCTTGTATAATTTCTTTACTGTGACCAGTAAAGAAATTTAATAAATAAATAAAAGATCTTATAAATTTTCGTTTTTTTATTTCTGTTAGAGTTTATAAGGTTAAAAATAAATCTGCTTGGGGAATAGCGCTAAAATCTGAATTGAGAAAAGCACAATTCTCAATATTAACTGATTATTCTCGATAACTTAATTTTTTTAGGTTTCATATGGTAAACAGTCTTGCTTTTATCAAATTGCTATTAACTGATCATTAAAAAAATATATATCAGTAATGATAACCTGTTTAATTGACATTAAAAATGGCTTAAGCACGGGTTGAAACGTGCTCAAATTCAAATTCTTTTGATTTTAGATTTTAGTTTTGTTTTTAATTATCAGTTGATAGCAATTTGATAAAACTAGGTCTTTTTTCCTCGTGAGAAGAAAAAAAAACATAAGTTATTGAGACAAATGTTAGTTATTGAGAGTAAATAATGAGAGAATTTGTACTTTTCTCAATACAAGAAGCCGTTATCCTTATAACGGCCGGTTTCTAAATTAAAACCAAGCTAAAGTTAGATACACGTTCATACAGTTAGTGTAATTAAGGAAAATGAGCAGACTAGTCGTCTTCTTGTGTGTACTGCATTGTGCTGTCAGCTATAAAGTTTTAATTTGCTATCCTTTCCCGGCAAAAAGTTTGGACATCTTAGGCGAAGGTATCGCGAGACATTTACTTGAAGCTGGTCATGAGGTGAGTTAAAGAAAAACCTCAGATATCTTAAGAATTATCTGTGAAAATAGTTGATAAAATATTTTCTTGTTCCATGCAAAAAATACGGTCATATTTTACTTTAGTTTTTTGTTATATCCATTTAAGGTCATCACAAAAAATATTTTCTTTTCTCTATGTCAAATAGACTATTTTTTTTTAATGCAATTTTATGTTACCCTGTGTACTTCGTATCATCTTTCACCCTTTAAATCCTTTCTGGACTACGAAAAACATTTCAAAACCAATTCAGATAAATCAGTATAGCTGTTCTCAAGTTTTAGCGAGACAAACAAACAGCAATTGATTATTATAGTATACTAGCTTTCCGCCAGCGGCTTCGCCCGCATAAAAATCTTACTTTTGAATCACCCTATCTATGAAAAAAAAACCGCATCAAAATCCGTTGCCTAGTTTTTAAGATTTAAGCATCCATAGGGACAGATAAAGCGACTTTGTTTTATACTATGTAGTGACAAGAACAAGATATGTATATGTATTATCATTATTTAGTATACCATTGCGCATGCACAAATGTAAACGAAGCTCCGCCTATTAACCTTGGGCATTGGCCGGTTATCAGGGCTGCCAATAGAGTGTAAATTTACGCATTTGTAAGTTTAAGCTAATAATAAAAATAGAAAATATTTTATTGTTTTCTTTTGTTAGCCATGCAGCCTATAGCTCCGAAACTAATGAAATTATAATTAATTAATTATCCTCCGAAATTATACTCAATGTCACCTATATATAATTATAAGTGACAGGCTATAATTTACCGGGGCGAAATTGTGGAAAAACAACTAGTATAATCATAAGTTATTTCATACTGTAATGTTTGTACCTAATTATACAAAACATAAAACCAAACCTAACAATACAATAGAGGACTCACTTGTCTGGTTGTTGACTTTGTGATGCGACTCTAGTAAAATTAACTACTTCACTCAAGTCATACTCGAGTTTTCGAGACACTCAAGTAAAAAATTGCAAACGTGCTACACGAGTGAGATTTCATTTAGTAATTTTAAAGAAATATATATATAGTATAAATAAAATACACATTAAAAGAGTTTCGACATATTATTTATTTAAGTAATCAAGTTTATAAAATTAATAAGCTGCATAGATAAATTAATTAGAGTAGCGAAGTGACATCTAGCAAGAGAATCAACTCGATGTGCCGCGTTGACTAGATAACTCGAGTGCATTGGGACTTTAGAAAAATTCACCCGAGTGCCTCGATAACAAACAGAACTCGAGTCGCATCACTACACCGACTAAAACGTTTATCTAGTACGAGTTATCTAGTCAACGCGGCACATCGAGTTGATTCTCTTGCTAGATGTCACTTCGCTACTCTAATTAATATTTATGATTATAATTATAATTCTGATTATAATTCTTTTTCAGATATAAATTAAGACTATCTTCAGAATAAATTATTTTTAAAATATTTTAATTTTGTTCCATACATGTATGATAAGTGAACCTAAGTTTTATAATAATTTAAGTTTTAAAGGCCATTTTTTTGGGAAAAATTGTATTTGTTTTGAAAAGGAGCTGACTGACTGATGGTGTGGCACGTTACAGTTATGTAATAGGAAAGTTTTGAAAAGGAGCTGACTGACTGATGGTGTGGCACGTTTAATCTAAACGGAAACAAATACAATTTTTCCCAAAAAAATGGCCTTTAAAACTTAAATTATTATAAAACTTAGGTTCACTTATCATACATGTATGGAACAAAATTAAAATATTTTAAAAATAATTTATTCTGAAGATAGTCTTAATTTATATCTGAAAAAGAATTATATCTAACTAGCTGACCCGACAGACTTCGTCCTGTCAAAAAGCCTACATTGCTTAGACAACAGTGAGTGCTTGTAATTTAATATGAACTTTATACCATAGCAATAAAGCTCAAATTGACTACGTTTTAGTTACAAATCATTTGTATGGGAAAAAGAAAAGGGCTATTTTTAGGGTTTTTCCAGCAATAATTCTAATTTTTCTCGCCGTAAAAACCATCCTTGAACTTCAACGAACATTTTAAAAAAAGATTTGGCCAAATTGGTCGAGGCGTTGTTGAGTTATGCGCTTACCAACACATTTTGCGATTCATTTTTATATTATACTAGCTGACCCGACAGACTTCGTCCTGTCAAAAAGATTTGTAATGTGGCAGTTTTTTTGCCTACGTATTGTGCTTGTAATTTAATATGAACTTTATACCATAGCAATAAAGCTCAAATTGACTACGTTTTAGTTACAAATCATTTGTATGGGAAAAAGAAAAGGGCTATTTTTAGGGTTTTTCCAGCAATAATTCTAATTTTTCTCGCCGTAAAAACCATCCTTGAACTTCAACGAACATTTTAAAAAAAGATTTGGCCAAATTGGTCGAGGCGTTGTTGAGTTATGCGCTTACCAACACATTTTGCGATTCATTTTTATATATATAGATAGATAGATTACTTTACATGACGGTCTATAGACTCATGTAAAGTATTAGTAGTAGGTATTAGTAAGTAAATAGAATTAGATAATAAAAGCCAAATCATACGTATTTTGGTTCCATTTCTATGTGGCAGCCCTAGGTTCGACTTTCTAGCGGACAGCACAAATACCTAATAATAAACGCAATACATTCGGTTTGTTTTCGATAACATTATTGTTCATTTTAAATTAATATTTTTTGATATAAATATTTTACGTGAGCATAGTATTTTAGATCTCTATGATGTAATCTAATGTTAACGTGATTATAATCCTTATATATCTATCTTTATTGTCAACGAAATAGATGGGAACAGACTTTTGTCTTAGAGAATGCGATTAATTGAAACCATTTTATGACCTTCCAGATACTATAATTATCATACAATGGCGATGGATGCCGTCTAGATAATTGAATTGTACCTTCCGGTTAAGTGTCGTTTAATGATATACCTACTTAGTAACAGGAACTGTGTCAAAAACTTTCGCATCTGAACATCCCATATTGAAGTTTACAATGGCGGGACTAATATCGACACCTAGTAAATGCGGGTTATAGGGCTGTTAACACTTAGAAATTTAAAATTTTTACTCCATTTATACACCTCCTCTATTTTAAAATATTAGTCAAATAAAATGAACGTTTGCATGTAACCTAACTTGAAACTTTCGGCTGTGTCGGTCATTTTGTTCCTCCCAGTATTGTAAATACCTGATTTATTAACCTATAGGATTACTTGGTCCCTATTATTTTCAATGTAAGTAGAAATTCTACATTAGTCTGACCAGGCCCCTAATTGTCTAATTTTAAATCTATTGCAATCGCTTTCAGTTTGAAAGATGTTGCATAACCATTGCTGCATAATACAAATACTTTTTTTTCAACTGTTTTCAGAAACAAGCAATGGTTGTGCAACACCTTTCAAACTGAAAGCGATTGCCATAGATTTAAAATTAGACAATTAGGGGGCAGAGCCTAAATTCTGCTATCGCTATCATAATAATCGCATCTTAGTGGCGTCATGATTACCCGTATTTTACTATTGCACAATCTACCCGTGGTTAAATATTATTTGTGCAATGTTTTCTGCACACATTAACGGTGATATATGTATTTTATTCTCTGTTCTAGTTACAGGGATTGTGTCAAAAAGGGTTGAAATTGAAACGATGACTCCCCATAATTAAGTAAACATTTGCCAAATTAGAACCCGTGAATCAGTGGCGTAACTACAAAGTAGCAAGTCGGCAAAATGCCATGGGCCCTCAGCTGGAAAGGGCCCTGGATCAGAGGAGACTCCTTACTCCTGACATTTATTTTTTTAACAGATGCATAACAATAATGTTGTCATAACAATGACTTTTCAAGTTTGTCACATTTTTTTACACATATCTGTAATCCATATTATTTTTATATAAAATGGCGTCTCTATTAGTCAGTAGTAGTTAGATTAATTTGTTATTTTGAGTTTTAGGAATAAGAGCAGTGTTAAAAAGAGATGACATTGAAATGTCATTGTATGTTATCAATATGATAACACAAGCGGAATTAGTGGTCCACTGTGATATTGAATTCAAAATGCGATTAACATTAATATTAATTTCACAGGTGACATACATAACTGTATATCCTAAGCAATTTACACATCCGAAGTTGCAACAAATCGACGTCAGTGCAAACGTACAATTAATAGAGAGTAAGAGTTTTCAACTAATTCGACCCTTTCATTTCAGGAATCCCCACGTACACCATCTCTTACTTTATATACTTAAAATAAAATAGTCTGGCCATAAATACTGTTAGAATAAAAAAATACAAAATATTACTTTTGAATTTCGGATCTGTCATTTTCATGAAGATTGCACCTAGAAACATGTCGCGTATTTTAAAAGATGACATAGGACTTGCAGCCTATAAGAGACGCACCGGTTACTTCTTATCAGATAATTTAAAAAGAATATGGTGCTAAAATGAAAACAACTACTTAAGCGGCACACAAAGGGAGGTCACAGAAAAAATTGTTTACGGATGTGGAAATTATTACAATTGAGCAATACTTTAACAACAAAATGACCGAATTAATAGTCAGAACTCTAAAGAAGCTTCACAATTAATCAACATAGTACAACGTAGGCATTATCCGACTTCAGTAATGGTTTGGTGGGTTGTTAGCTATAAAGGAATGACCGAGCCATAATTTTGTGAGAAAGGCATCAAAACATCAGCACAAGTGGATCGAGATACCATTCTCGAGAACGTAGTTAAGCCCCTTATGTTCAATAACCAAGAATTGTTCTTACGGCAAGACTCAGGGCCAAGTCATGAAGCTGAATACACCTAAACCTGGTTAGAAACCAATGTTCTGAACTTCATCAGAGCTCAAGACTGGCAATCTTCTAGTCCAGATCTTAATCCGTTGTATTATGATTTATAGTCAGTTTTAGAGAGTAAGGCTTACTCTAAACGCCGTGATGATTTGGAGTCCCTAACACAATCCGTACGATTAGCCCATGGAAAGAGTGCATGCGTCTATTGATAACAGGACTCATCGAATAAGCTATATATGTTTTATATTAATGTATTAAACTAAAATACTGTAATAGTAATAAATGTTACGTTAAATAAAAAAAATGTTGATTTTCTATGTAACAATATTTATAGCAAAACAATATAAAGTTAAAAGGCATCGTGAGATAACACGATAGTTGAAAGAATGACTTACACGGGGGACTCATATTATTGAAATCTTCATACTTTCAAGTAATAACCTCTTCATTCCGTTTCTTCCTACTGCAAGTTTTCCTTTATAAAGGACAGAATACAGAATTACAAATACAGTTTTTTTTAAGGAACTCGAAAGCCACTAATTTTAGGCCCTAAACTAATACATATTTATTGTAACGACTATATTTAAGACTCGTGACCATCTTAACACTTCTTCCTAATTTTTCAGATGATGAATTCATGAACATCACTTACCTTCTGGAAAGTAATGTTGAATTGGATAATGATGTAGAGTACCTTCAAGAGTTAGCATATCAAGTAGCTGTAAACACAATGGAAAATGGTAACATAAGAAAACTCTTAGGGGATCTTAAAGTAACATTTGACGTTGTCATCATCGATTTGGAAATGGAGATTTACACAGGGTAAATATTATATTGAACAAAATGCAGTGTTTATAAATCTTAATGAATCATTTATTGTCAAGAACTAATGATAAAAGAGAGACGATAAACACGGCGATCATGTAGATTTGAAAACAGTTATGAAATGCAAGCAAACGAAAGACAATAAAGTAAGAAGCGCTCGATACTTCTAGGTTACCTCGAAAGGGATTCAGTGTTAATATAAAGATAAATAAAAAAATCTAATATCAACCATATTAAGATAATTATATTAATACAAATGTCATTGGTTGCCACTTTGCCAGTAAGTAATATGTTACGTTACGACTCATTATATTGCTAAAGAGTTTACGTGTTGTAAGTATTATACCCTCTATACCTATCTCTGGATTATTTATCAGATTATTTACTATTAAAAAATTATTTATTAACTTTAGTAAAATTTAAATGAAGGAAATTTTGTAAATTATTTCTAAATATTTATACTATTAAATTTAATCACGCAGCAAACTCAATTAAATTCCTAAAATCATATTTGGTTTCTTTGTCGATATTTTTAATGCTTCATCTTTATCAAGCCAGAAGTTTATTTCGCAATCTGATATAAAATTTGGTGAATACTTTCATTACTGAAGTTTCAGATACTTTAAGGCAATGATTTATTAAGAATAGGCGTTGCCAAAAACATAATCTATATTATCTTCTTAACCACAGAACTTCTTAACAAAGAAGCTAGAGTTTCATTTTTCAGGTATATACTACTTGCCGTACCTGGTTAGTTTGTTTTTTAAGGATCCGTATAAACCGTTAAATCTCATAAAAGTAAAGATTACGGACTACGAGTTTAGATGATGGATCCTCCATCGAGTGTCCAATATTGCATACCATATCATTTTTTATTTCTGAATTTTTGACGAGATGCAATTCATCTTGCGTCAGATTTACACCAACCCTTATTGCTTCCTTTACACATACAATCAAAGTATTTTATATATACTACTAGACAAGTTCATAATTTAAATAGTAGCACAGTGTAGCGGTGTTTCCTGACAGAAATTTGAATGTCTTGAAATTTTTGCAATGAAATAGATGGATTAGGGAAAACATATGAACCTATTTTATTTTTAATTTTATATGTCACCAAAGCAGCAATTTTTCAGTGTCCTAAAGTTTGTCTAGTAGTACCTTTACAAGTCTTTGCAAATAACGTTTTTCTTGATAAAGTTTGCATTTTACACGAGTTTATGCCACGTCCTAGTTTCAAGGCTGGATCAATCTTTGTTTTCTACCAAAAAGGCAAGTCTTACATGTCATTAATTGTTTGTTTTTCAATTTACAGTATACCAGCTTTGTATGATGCTCCTTTAATATGGTCTTATTCCCTGGGAGCCCACTCGACAGCCCTTAGATTGATTGATGATTCCCCAAACCCAGCATACTCTACGGACTTCTTTACAGCAGTTTACCCACCGTTCAGCTTCACAGAGCGATTCTGTGTGTTATATGAGTTCTTGAAATGGCGATACATTAAGTAGTAAGTAACAAAATAAAGATAACTAGCTTTTGTCCGCGACTTCGCCCGCGTGATATAGTTACTTTGGGCATCATATATTTTCCAAAAACGCTGTTGTTTTTTGAGCTGATGATAAAATTACCTTGATATTTAAGTCGGTTCGAAGATATTACAACAAAATACCAACGAATGTCCAATATGTTTCAGCACTTTATCTTTGAAACTTTAGATATATTAATCCAATACAATGCAATTTGAAATAAATATGAAAAAAAAATGATTTAAAGGATTAATTTGGTTTAAGCAAGTTACAAGGGTCAGTTTTCTGTATTATTTATTTATAAGTTTGACTATACGTACTGAATATTATAATTCATTTTTTTTTTTCACTGAAACTCCCTTTTACTCCACACTAATGTGGTTTATTTAAATTTTATACATTGTTTTGGGTACATAATTAAGGTTAAATTTACATCAAATATTTTTTGTGGGAATAAGCGCACATGCTGACTAATTAAAAATATTTTTTTGGAAGTTGTCCGATCCTCTATTTAAGGAGGTGAGAGGTTTCTAATGTAAACAACTGTACAATTAATTAACCTATCTATTATCATTTAACACATCATAATTTATCTATCTATATCTACTGATAACTCATTACTATTTAGGTTACCTATTAAAAAACTTGAACTCTATAAACAAAAAATTAAGTGAAATTCGCTTCATAAGTGCTTCTTATTCTAATTTTAGCTTTAAAATGATACCGAAAGAAGAAAAGTTTTACAGAACAATATTTGAACCGTATTTTACTATGCGAGGAAAACAGTTATATGATTATGAGGATTTGATATACAACGCATCATTGGTCTTGAGCAATGACCATCACGCGAACGGCAAATCTCCCAGCACACCACAGAATTGGAAGCTAGTTGGGGGATACCACGTACATGATCCACCTTTACCCTTACCCAAGGTATTTTTAAAGTTTCTTTAGTAGTATAAAATCATTTAATTAACACGCACACAAATAACAAGATGTTATAGCAGTGATCGGAATATATTGAATTAGGGATATATTAATGTGGATATTCCTGCGGAATCGATTAATCGTAATGTTTTTTCCAATCCAAATCTTATCCAAATTTTCTTTATATAGAAATTCATGATAAAAGTACCAAAACAACTAAATGTGGACAAAGCAGCTTCTTGTACGAAGCCATGCGAGATCGTGAGGCAGTTTTGCCTTAAATAATGCATCACACAATGTGCTAAAAGTTATGGGTTCAATTTTGTTGGTGTATCTTCGATTTCTGCTTGTTAACTGTGCCTAGCGAAGCGAAAACACGAAATTTTATAGTCAAACTCTTCAATAAGTTTATCTACTTTTTAAATGCTTGAATGCATTTAAAGACTAACTTTCTTTTATAAATTTAATTTCCTATTAGGACTTACAAGAATTGATGGACGAATCAAAACATGGAGTTATCTACTTTAGCATGGGGTCAATGTGGAAAAGTGAAATGATGCCTACGAGGCTAATAAAAGATTTATTAAAGATGTTTGGAGATTTAAAGCAGACGGTCTTATGGAAATACGAAAGCGAATTGCCTAATCTACCGGAGAACGTTTACATTCTCAACTGGGCACCTCAGCAAAGTATACTTGGTGAGAATTTGGTTTTTACATTAACAATATTATATTGATATTTGTCTATAGGTAGATATTTATAAGGAGATGTCCTGTAATACTGACTGACAGACAACGCACAGCCTAAACCGCTGATCGTAGAGACTTGAAATTTGGAGGGTTGTTATGTAGAGGTGTACTAAGAACGGATTTTTGAAATTCCATCCCAAAGGGAGACAAAAAGGATGACAAAATTGGTATTTGGGTAGTTTAAGGCCCTAAGAGAGTAATACTTTCAGTTTTCGATTAAGTTTTGTATAAATTTTACGTTTCTGTTCTTCCCATCTGTATTTCAAATTGGATAGATGTCTGAATAGCTCGGTGGCGTATTGGTTGTTGTTAAGCAACTTTCGTAAGAGTCACTCACGGGATGGATGACTTATCTCGAGCAACTCCGTGCTCCGGAAGGCACATTAAGCCGTTGCTCCCGGCTGTCGTTAATAACCTGTAATTCACATTGGGCCAGCGTGGAGATTCATGGCTCGTCCTTCTATATCTTCATAGATTATTAATTAACCAATGTGTACTGAGTCAATTTATTGATATGCTTCGGCACGAATGGGCCGGTTCGACCGGAGTGATACCACGGCCTCACAGAAAACCGACGTGAAGCAACGCTTGCGTTGTGTTTCGTCGTGTGAGTAAGGGTACCGGAGGCCCAACCCCTCCCTATTCCCTTCCCTCCACCCCTCAACCCTTCCCTCCCTATGATCATATTCGTCCCTTGTGCAGCGTGCTTGTAGCCCCTCTGGTGTTGCAGGTGTCCATGGGCGACGGTAATCACTTAACATCAGGTGATCTGTCTGCTCGTCTGCCCCCTATCCCATAAAAAAAAAGGTAAAGTTCATACGTCAAGCAAACTCAATCAAGTTCACATTTAATTTGAATTATAAGAATGAAGTTGTTTATACAACTGTATGAAGTTGTTTAGTTCAGTTATAAAGAGACAGCTGACTGCTATAACGAAAGATTACAGGGTAGAATCACATCTCAGGTACTCCTGGAACAATTGAAAGATATTAAATTTGATACGAGGTGCATCTATTTAGTTATTTTAAGAAGACCAACATCTAATGCAGAAACTTTATTCAATAACATATCTATTCCTAGTTAATATCAAGTATTTAATAGTTGGAGATCATTGGGGGAGGCATGCCCAGCAGTGGGCGTCTCTCGGTTGATATGATAATGATAAAGATTTAATAATTCTTATGATATACCTCTTCTTATGATAGACGTCGCTAGTTATTAGGAAACCCATTTAAAAACAAGAAAGATCTGTTTTAAATTGGCACTTACAATTTAATATGAAATCTTACTTAACCGTTTGTCATCCTTTCAATGCCTTTGTGGTCCTTTGACGCTGTTCAGCACAGCTTAATATAGCTGGCAACTTTAGATACCATCAAGACAAAAATTCCACAAACCCATCATTTAGAGTTTAAAATTTCAGGAATTGGAAGTTCAAACTTTCCAAAATGTCCAGTTCCAGTTCTTGTAGCATACTTGATGTGTGGATCCGTTTAAGTAAATATACCTCGCCTCTATAATACCTATATTTTTATTTCCTTTTAGCACATCCCAACTGTAAGGTATTCATATCACACGGTGGCTTTTTATCTTCAACTGAGGCTATTCACTTTAGTGTCCCAACAATTGGTATACCAATATCTTACGACCAATTTGTCAACATCGACAAAGCAGTCAACAGAGGATATGCGCTCAAAGTCAGCTTGACCTATGATTTAGCGAAAGATCTGAAACCTGCTATAGAAAGTTTGTTAAACAATCCCAAGTAAGTTCTTTATTTATTCATGATCATCATTATCAGAAGCTTATTGACGAATTAATTTACCCAATTTTCTTATATTTCAGGTACAAAGAGAACGTGAAGGCTTTATCAGCTATTTACCATGACCGGCCAGTACCTCCTGGTAAAGAGTTAGTACACTGGGTAGAGCACGTAGTAAGGTCTCGTGGAGCTGTACACTTAAGGTCTATCGCCTTAGACGTGCCATTCTACCAGAAGGCGTATTTAGACGTTATAGTTCTAGCATACTTAGCTATTAAATTCATTAGGTACATCTTGAAAGCTTTGCTCCCAAAACAACATAGGAGAAACAAAAAAACGAAAACCAAATAAAGAGCAATTTGCATTGTAATGCATTTCTAAGTTTATTACACCATACTTTTGTTTTTTCTAAACCCATGTATGCCTCGACCCTATCAGTCCTATTATAAAACGAAGACTAAAGTTTGTCATCGTCGTCGCCAGCCAATTTATATCCCCACTGATGTAGCTCAGGCCTTCCCTTGTGGATGGAATGGAGAATGTGACATAACCCACCCCGCAGGACCAGTGCGGATTGGTGAGTGTTAACGACTGCTCATGTAGCCAGGACATAATAAATTTTTCGACACCCATCCTATGACCGGCCTTTGGCAGACCGAACGCGCTAACCACTGCACCAACGATCTCTCTCAATTACTACATACTTGATTAAACTATTACCCGAATAAAGCAAATTCATCAAGGAAAACGTTAAATTTAGACGTGTTGACTTTTTGGTCGGATAATGGTTTAAACCAAAGATAGTCACGAACTTTCAGGCTATAACTATTTGACGTGTCATCGGAATTGCGATCGCGACTTTTTTTTTTAAAGATATTTAATGAACGATAACGTTTATTTGACGTTAATCAGAATTGTCTAAGCAAATTAATAGTAACAAATATCGTTAAAAAGCTATTAGATAATGTAAAACGAAATATAAAAAAAAAAAAGTAAAACTATCACAACCGCTTTACGTTTTAAAGGGAATGTGATTGATTTTAAAATTAGACATTTATACAAATTATTACCAACAGTGGCCTGTTTGTTATAATTTGTTTTATTTGAGAGTGATCCTAATACATAAAACGCACGCAATAACATTCAACTTATAATATTTATTAATAAAGCAACTACATTTAAATACATGAAAGAAAACATTATAAAACTATGTCCACAAAGATCACAATAGTAATACTTCAAATTATAATCTTAATAATAATATTGCATTAGTATTAAATAAATCAGATTTAAATAACAGAAACACGTATTAATTAAAAAAAAACATATTCTAGTTTGATAATCTTACGGTTCATTTTCACTATACAAAGAAGATAACTTATTTTTTAATTATACTATTATGCGTCGTCAATGAATATTGGCCTATTTACCGAAACACGACATGATAATTATTTGCAGACAAAAAAAATATTCAGCAACGTTATTTAAGAAATAAGACAAACTTTTTGGGCTATCTCGACATGCTTAATTGACATTCGGCGACCTATTCCGGTTATTGGTTATCGTGATAAAAATAGTATATGAATTTAACTCACAGAAACAAATCGATACGTTATCAATGCTTTTGTCCTAAAAGTAATAAATTAATTTCGATTAACATTAGTCAATTATAAAAAAAATCCAATGTCGAAAACAAAATGAACTAGATTCATAACCATGATAAGTAAATTTATACACATAGTTACCAAAAACTATTATTTTTAATATTATACAATTATGATATGACATAAAAAATGTCCAACACCATTTCTTTATAATCGTCGTGTACACAGATCACCACATTAGGTTACTACAAAACAAAAAGTTTCTGTAATCAATTTCGAGCGAACTTTAAGCAGATTATGTTCTAATCGTTTGCAGACAAGGGGGCCAATTCTACTAAATAAATTTTGATTAAATCAAATCGAAACCGAATGAAACTATAGTTTTTAATGTTTTTTCTACAAAGTGACATCCGATACAATTCCAGTTCTATTTTAGCTGGTATTGTATCGTATGTCACTTAGTAGAATAGAATAACCATTTACATAAAACTGTAGTTTCGTTCGGTTTCGATTCGTTTTCGATTCGTTTTCGATTCGATTTATTTAGTAGAATTGGCCCTCTGTTGTATTTACTAACTAGCCGTGATGTCTACCTATTCAAAATATTCTTAATCAAATATTATGTACAATAAAGCCATAAACATTTCAATATCACATTTATATATTATATTATTTAATACATTGTAAGGAGCATCTCAATTTACATACACAATAATATCACAAATAAAATTTTAAGGACATTTCTCAGTCTACACTTGACTTCTTTACACAAATATGAATCAACGGCAAAAACATGATAATTAGAAAAATATGCTATTTCAAAATTTCATCATCATTAATATAAGAATTAGTTACTATCGGTATTGCGACCGTGTACAAACAGCAATTAAAATATGTCCAATTTTTATAATCCATTCTCAATCTATCGTCAAATCGTTAAGGTTCAAAATCGAGTGAAAAAATTACAGATTTGTACAAACTAATGTGCTGTTGAGTATACGTTATTTTCATCGAAAAATTATTACTCTAATTGAAATAAATAACGCAGTCGAATGAGACAACTTTTTTCGATATATAAAACAATATTGAAATAAAAAATTAATTAATTATTTAATGTATGTATATAATATAATTAAATATACTTTTATAGTTAACCCTGGTCATTTCTTAATTATACTAATCGAATACCGCTATCGAACTGACTATTAAAATATGAATACTAACAAATGTTTTAAAATTGCGAACTTATTTCGATAGCAAATTAAACTGAAAGAAAAAGACTCGCGGTCATCCCAATACCGCCCGCTAACCAATTTTAGCAGGTCAATTCCGCAAATGTTTCGCAATAAATGCATCTCAACTAATTTCATTTTGCCATTACCTAACTGAAGTCCAATATTATTATTTATCTGTCATCATTGATGTGTGAGGATGATACTGCACTAATATTTGACTTTAGGAAGATAGAACAATGATATAATGCAAGTCGTTGAGATTATATTGAAATGCTATTATTACGTTAATATTTGCATTGGCCTGTAGGTTGCAAGCTAAAGTTAAACTCTGATCTAGATGATAATGTCATTAATACACCGTCATCGCATACCTTTTACTGATAATCTAACGCTATAAGGATTCCATACCCAATGAGTTCTAAGACTCTACCATCTGTCTATCTGTCCGTCTGTCCGTCTGTATCTCATGGACCGTGACAGTTAAGACAGTTGAAATTTTCACAGATGATGTATTTCTGTTACCGCTGCAACAATACATACTAAACATATAATAAAATAAATATTCGAGGAGGCTCCCATACGACAAACGTGATTTTTTACGTTTCTTTTATATAATGGTATGGAATCCTTCGTGCGCGTATCCGACTCTCACATGGCCGGTTTTTATTAACTACTAGTGTCCGCCAGCGACTTCGTCCGCGTTTTCCATTATTTCTTCGCCCCTAATAGTTGCAGTGTGATGTTATATAGCCTAAAGCCTTCCTCGATAAATGGTCTATTCAACACAAAAAGAATTCTTCAATTCGAACCAGTAGTTCCTGAGATTAGCGCGTTCAAACAAACAAACTATTCAGCTTTATAATATTAGTATAGATTTAAAAGTTCGTACAAAAACACAAGTAATACCTATCACATTAACTTGTAATAAGTATAACTAAATATTTACACATTATCATAAATATTATAATATAAACACCTTTTAGGCAATATTTAAGAATAGCATAATCCCAATAACCAATTAATATTGTCAAAATTACTGTTCAATCATCTAAATTCACTGTCAACTCCTATTGAAACTAAGACTCGAATTGTTATTTTCAAGAAAGCTTGGAACTTTCCCTTCTTTAACTACTCTTAAAGCTTGCAATACTCTCGCTGTATCCAGTTCCGCTTCTGATGCCTTCTCGTTATCCAAATAAATCTCAGTCATTCTAGTATCGAATTGTTCTATGACCTTCGCTCTATAGTCTATGGTTGAGGCGACAGGGTTCGCTGTTAAACATAAATACTCCAAGCATGGTAACCTACATATATGTTGGATCTCCTCCACATCGCTTATGAGATTGCAACCTAAATCCAAACTCTCTAGAGAGTATAATCTCGAGAAACCTTGTAGAGAAGATACCTTGTTCTGCGATAAGTCTATTTTAACTATGTTCCCAATTTTAGCGTGCCAATTCTCACAAACGGAAAAACTGTTTAAAGACAAATTGAGGACTCTAAGGTTGTGCAGACACGATATATCACAAAGTTCCTTCAATCTATTTGAGGATAATGATAGATGCTGCAATTGGGGCACTAATGTTATCGCCCAATCTATTTGCTCTATATTATTACTCCCAAAATTGATGACCGACAGTTTATTCCATTTCTGAAACAAAGAATGTATTTCAGGATATTTACATATTACTACATGGATATTTATAACAAATGAAAACTGTAGCCGATAAGGTACTGCAAAAATTTAATACAATTTACTTTTCGATTTTAATACATGATAATTAAAGTAAATTGAAAATTTGCCTTTTGAAAATCATTTCCTTAAAATTATTACAGTTAATTTTTAAATTTAATCTTTATTAATAAACTTTTGGGGTTATAATTTCGTGTTAAAATGAGTTACTTTAATCCTTTTATTTGATACTAAAGATGGGATTTCACCTAGAAAAAAAAAACGTTATTTCGTTAAATATATTACGAATTTAAACAAAATATATATATAATTTATACTTCTTAACACTATAATAACCGAAATGGAATACTTCATAACAAAATTAATGTGTAAAATAGTTGGTCCCGGCTGCATTTGAAGTCTTTAATCAAACTAATGATGAATAACCTTATTACCCCTTGATATAAACACAATAACAACAAAGTGTTGTGATGAGAAATGTTAAAAAAGTACATTGCTCTTATTTAATAAATAACCATTATATATACCCGGGCGCCAGTGTTAAGGAGGCGCCAAAATCTAAAAAAAAGAACGAACTTCACAAAAATGGCTTTCAAAATTCGTACTAAATTTTAATATAAAATTTTACTTAATTAAATAATATAATATTTTACTAAATTAAATCAAAGAAAAAGATCTAACGGATTGGAAGGTTAAAAAAGTCCGTGACTGTGTATCACATCACATCATGTAATATATTGAATCAAAAGGTTGAATCCTGTACATTTGTCCAGGATCGTGGCTACACTGCCACGCCTTCAAGGCCCTTCTAACGTCTTTCAATGTTCTGTGTTCATAACCAAAAATAAAATCCGACATTTGGGAAAAAAAACCCGGAAAAACGTAGGTTTTTTCCTATCGGGTTTTTTTCCCACCGCCCATCTCTATTTGATACCCAATGCTACACATGCATTTTTTTTAGTTTGTTACCGTCTTCCAGAGGACAACCTATGTCATTTAATGTAACATAAAATATCATATAACTAGCAGACTATCAGACTCAATTATCAAATTATGATAAGTAGTTAATAAAATATGAGGAATCAGGTCAACATACATTCATTCATACGCACAGCCCAAAATCATAACCCTCTTTTATGTATCACCGTAGTAGGATAAAAAGTATGACATTAATCCGAAATTATGACTACTTCCGTGGCCATGTGGCGGTTTTAATGTTTCGCTTTTTCTGAGGTCCTGCGTTCGTTTTTCTTCCAGGTCAATGTAGTAAATTAACTTTTCTATATTGTCTCAAGCTTGGGTGTTGAATTGCCGTCGTTGCTTTAGATTTCCATAATACAACTGCTTTAGATACTCAAATTGGAATCTAAACAATGAATGTGATGTCCAAGATCTTTTATATTATTCATTATTATATTGTATAGATAAGTAGCGTTATTGTACGGTTATCAATTTTACGACATCTGTTTTAATTAACATTCATGCATTATCAAGTGACGCATGTATTAATGTAAACATACGATATTATTACAGAACAAAATGATATTACAACGTAAACCAAACACGGAAGAAAAACAAACTATATAATTGTAATTGTTACTTATCCAAATGAATAAAATAATCCTAGGCCTCAGATTTCAATAATATACCTTTTTGTTCAGATATTATTTCGATATGTGTATAGCACACATGGTGTTTTATCAAAGTGAAGAAACGACATAGTCGTGTTGGCAAAAAAATAATTCAAGGTCGCGAGAATCAGGTTTTTCCCTAAATGTTCATGTCTTATAAATTGGAGGTCCAAGATCATCGTAATTATCTATAAAAATGTTTCTTGCAGTTTTCTATGCGATTTTCAGCATAGAGAAAGAGGCTAAAACGCATTTATATGTGATATTGTATATCGTACACTACGGCGTGACCTCTGTTACTTTTTTACTCATGTTTTGGAGTATATCAAAAACTTATCTTATGTATGGGTGTTTTGTTATAACTACAACACATTTCTATGATTCGTAAAATCATTTACGTTTAGTACTTAGTGAGAGAAGAATGGAAGAAAAGAAAAAGGATGCAGGTGAAACTATGTATGTACAATTGATAACTGTATTTTAAGTTTTGAGTATAGTACTTTGCTACAATGTAACATTATTATCAAGTTGTCATGAAAAAAAAAGAATATAATTAAGAGCAGCAATACAAAAACTGGTGAATATACTTATTATTTTATGTTTAGAATAAAATATAAATTCACATTTTGACTGTGACAAAACCTTTATGAGAGTTATTTGTATTTGTATGTGTATTTAATTTTTTGTGGCTACTCACCATAGTGTCATCTACACTTGATGGATCTTTGTGCAAAATATCAACCAATAAAAATTCATTAAGTGACACAACTGTTGCAATTAATACTGATAAATGAACCAGAGTGTCACGAAGACTACCTGCAAAAGATGACAAATACATTAAACTAAATAATATTTGTTAATACAATAACTATTTTATAAATTCCAATGAGTTCAAAAAACATTTAAGGGTAAACAAACAATGATACAGATAACATTCAGATATAATTGTACACCAACACCATTCACATCATGATAAAAACAAAACAGCATAAATTTTCATGAAAAAGTGGTCAAGTGCAATTGCTCACCTATAAATGGGCCTTTTTTTTTTTTTTTTTTTTTTATTTCTTGAATTTTATTTGGGGTTTTTATCCATATGGATATGTCAACCCCATCGTACCTTTTACATTAGTTTCACAAAACTTATAATAACATTAAAATATAGGTTTAAATGACAAAAATATAGGGTCTTAAACAATACTAAAAATGTATATATGGACACAATATTGACTGATCGTCTAATAGTTGCGGTTATTGGTTATAGCCAATCTACACAATTTCTTAGCTACATCCTTTATGGGATTTGCTAGTATACCTTGCACTAAGCCAATATCGAGAGTATTAAGTCCAAATTCCGTCAGCAGTAACTCTCTTTCATTTTTGTTTTTGGCACATTCCATCAACAAATGCTGTACATCCTCAATGACATTGCAGATATTACAGTTTGGTGAGTCTGTTTTTTTCATAAGGTACGCAAACTTCGCCGATGGAAAGTGCCCGGATCGCAGTCTAAGGGCTAGTTTTATGTAGGATCTGCTTAACTCGTTATATTCAAACCAAGGTATTCGAGTAGGCTCAGGTTGTAATGTCTTATACCAGATACCTTTGTCCTTACTTTTTTTATTAAAATGGTTTTTCCATTTATTATAGCATAGGTGTTTAAATTTTGGTAAATATTCGAAATAGTCAGGTAAGAAATTAATAACTTTTCCATCTTTTGATGCATATTTACATAGCCTGTCAGCCTCCTCATTACCTTTTAAGCCAATATGAGCTGGAATCCATTGCAACCTTAGCTCTGCACTATTTTTATTAAATATATTAATGACTTCTAGAATTTTATAGGCTATCGATACACCTCTTGTTCCAGAGACGCATCGAGCCAGATGCTGTAAAGCACTTTTACTATCAGTTAATATTACTACTTTCCTTAAATTTTGTTCCAATGCATAGTTTAGAGCTTGACTAATTGCTATGAGTTCCAGCGTCATGATTGTCACTTCAACCTCTATTTTAAAACTAGCTTTATAATTTTGTTTATGATCGTAGAATGCCGCTCCTAGACTTTTATTGGTTTTTGATCCATCTGTGTATATTTTATGCCATCCAAAATAGCTATTATTTAGATCCATTAGTACATTGTTAAACAATTCATTTGCATTATACATATTTTTAGGGTTTTTAACATTGTCTAGACTTATTTTAATGACCTTTCCTAGTTCTATAGCTGTGGACCATATATTCAACTCGAACATTTTCAGTGTTTTTGAGGAATTAATATTTATTGCTTTAACGTCATTGTATATTTTAGCAAGTAGTGGTATCTTTTTATTTTTCCAGTATGTATTATTACTTAACTCATTTAAGTTTGATATCAATTTAACAGTCTCATTATTTTCCCAAGATGTGGCTTTCAGATTATATTTGTACGCTAGATATCGTCTTCTTATAAATAACGGATCAATACCTAATTCGCTTTCCATGACATGTATTGGTGTACTTTTGATAAATCCTCCTACGATTCTCATTGCTTTGTTTTGGATTTTGTCGAGCTTTGATATATGTGATTTTACACTGCAATCATAGATAAAAGATCCATAATCAATCCTACTTCTAATTAGTGTAATATATAATTTGCGCAAGTGTTTAGTATGTATTCCCCATGAAGATCCCGCTAACATTTTAATTATATTTAATAATTTTGAGCATTTATCCATTAATTCGTTAATATGTTTTCGCCAAAGAAGACTTCTATCCAACCACATACCTAAATATTTAGTACATTCTATTGAGGCAAGGGGTTTATCATATATTTTTAGGTTTGGTTTTATTCTTCTGTTACCCCTACTAAACAAACAATAATTAGATTTGGTACCCGACAGTGTTAGGCCAATTTCATCTAATAGTAAGATTATAGTATCTAATGCATTTTGAACTGATTTTTCACATATTTTGATATCTTTATGTCCAATGTATATAACAAAATCATCTGCGTATTGAGCAACTTTTACCTGTTGAATTTGGTTGCATATCTTAGACGTAATTATATTGGAAAGTAAAGGAGAAAGTGGATCGCCCTGTGCTAAGCCCAAATTGGTGTTTCTACATAATCGTTCATTGTTATTTTCTATGTTAATCATTAATTTTCTTTCGGTTAAGAAGGACCACAGGTAGCGGCAAATTCTTGTACCAACTTTTAGACGATCCAGTTCTTTGACCATTGATTCTATACAGACATTGTTATAAGCATTATCTATGTCTAGAAAACATACTAGTGTTGGTTCATTTTTTGTAAATCCAAGTTGAGTATAAGTAACTAGACGAACGAGTGCGTCAATGCAGGACTGAGATTTTCTGAAGCCAACGGTGTATGGTGATAGCACGTTATTTTTTTCTATATACCACTCTAAGCGCCTTAATATCTTCAAATGAAATACTTTACATATACAAGATAGTAGTGAGATGGGTCTTAGTTTTATAAGTATAAGATTTATTGTTAGAGCTTCCTTTGGCAATGGGAACAATTTTAATCTCTCGCCATTGTGTTGGGATATTACTTGACTGTAATATATTGTTATATAATTTAAGGAGAAGATTTTTGGCTGAGCTTGGTAAATTATATAACATTGAATATGAAATACCGTCCGGGCCCGGGGCAGAGTCTGTTTTTTTAATAGAGTATTCTAGTTCCTGTTTTGTAAAATCGGTTTCTAATAAATTATTTTCAGATTTAAATGTAGGTGGTTGATTGGACACAAAGTCTGGCGTTAGCAAATATAATAAATCTTTTACTTTCTCTATGGGAGGGTGTGATGTTTGTTGTTGGAAACCTTTAATCCATTTCATACGCTTCCACATATCAGTGACTGAGGTTGAACTATCAACGGATTCACAGAATTTTTGCCAGCTTAAAGATTTTGCATGACGTATAAGTTTTTGTGACTCCTGTGTTTTTTTTTTTCTAGTGTTAATAAGTTATTAGGGGTAGGATTTCGACGAAATCTTTTCAGAGCTAATCTTCTTTCAGCGACTACTTTAGATAATTCAGGATTCCAATATTCCTTCGGTTTAAATTTTTTGTCAGGTTTATTGTCAAATTTGACGTATGGTATATATTTTTCTGCCGCACAATTAATTTTAAGTAAAAAATATCATATATGGTTTGAATATTATTTGAATTTATAGGATAGTCCTCAAGTTTAACTGAAATCGCTTTGTTATACTCAGACCAGTTGGCTTTTTTATAATTACGTTTTTTAGTTTTACATGAATAGTTTGTTAAAAGTGCCGAAAGTTTTATAATCAAATGATCACTGCCCAGATTTTCGTTTAGCACCTGCCAGTTAAACTTAATTGCTACATCCGCAGATATGAAAGTAATATCAGGTGATGTCTCTTGTAATGTTCCATTCACAAATTTTACACGAGTGGCTGTGCCGTCATTTAATAGAATAAAACCGGTTTCTAAAGCGGCATCCATTATTTGTTTACCTCTTAAATCTGATTTTATTGACCAATTTGTGTGGTGTCCATTAAAATCACCGGCTATTAAAGTTCTTTTGGAGAACAATGAGAATAGTTCATCCCATTCCGAAGTTTGGGTTCGAATACTAGAAGGACAATATATAGATATAATATATTCTAAATCTTTACAATTTAACACTTTGACGCATATAACTTCAATGCCTCTATTTTTCAGTTTAACTGGATGTAAATGAGACTGAATCTTCCTATGCACTAAAATTGCAACACCACCATATCCATCGTCACGATCTGTTCTATATATATTATAACTATTTATATTTAAGTTATTTTCAATATCTAACCACGATTCACTAATAATTGCTAAATGTATATTTTCTCGGCATAAGAGATCTGTAAAAGATGATAATTTAGGAATCAGGCTTTGTGCGTTCCACTGAAATATGTTTATCTTAAAATTAGTATTTGTATTATCCATTACATAAGTTACCAATTTGTTCCATGAATCCGCCCCCTAGTATCACGTTAATTATAAATTTTTTTAACTCTCTCCATATGAATTTTAACGCAAAATTTACTTTTTCCTCAAATTTACCATTTGACATGAAAATTTCTTTCATTTTAAGTATAAAGTCTTTAACCTTAAATTTATATAATAAATGCTCATCTTGAATACTCTTTTTCTTTTCACTGTTATCTTCGAAGTGTTCTGTACGGTCCTCCTTTGTGATTTCTTTTGTACTTCTTTTTTTAGTCTTTGTATGTTGAGTTTTTCTTTTATGTTGTCTTTCAGTCTTACTTTCGACGGAGCTTTCTTCGGACCTTGTCTGTGTTTCTGTTTCCATTGGATTTTCTTGTTGATGTACTATAGCTTGCGTAAGTACTGTACTATAGGTTTTAGTTGTCATTGTATTACTTTTTCTAGAGTTTCCGGTTTTATCGTTGATATCCGGGCTATTTATTTTCTTCTGCTCTACAAATAATTGTAACGCTTTACGATATGTGACTTGTTCTCTACTCATAATAATCCTTATGTTTTTTCTTTTATAAATAAAGGGCAGCTTTTATCAAGTACAAAATGATTTCCTTTACAATTCAAACATTTGATTTCTTTAGTCTCACAATTCTCATGACCTCCTCCGCATTTAGGACACAATTTTTTCTTTATTGTGCAATATTTAAGAATATGTCCAAATTGCCAGCACCCTGAACATTGCGTTACTGGAAATACGTACGGTTCAACTTTGAATCGACAATCATAAGCATATATGTATGTTGGTAAAGAATGATTTTTAAAACTTAGTCTCACGGATTCACTATCAACCCATGTGCCTTCAGAATTTAAGCGCTTTAATCTTTTAGTGGCCAATATTTCGTAGTTTGACTGGAATATTTCCATTAATTCTTCGTCATTCAAATCTAAGTCAACACCTTTAACTACGCCATAACATACGGTAATTTCATTAATAAATTGACTTCGAAGTCCAAGTTCCTTTAATTTTTGGTTTTCCAGAAGTTTCATTGCATTTTCTTTTTTTTCGAACTCTATAATAACCTTGTTTGTACTTTTATATTTAATTTTGGATATCTCTAATATATTTTCTGAACAAAGTAATTTTGCCATTGCCATTTGTTTTGGTAAATTTTGTAAAGATGTTATACTGACTTCGTGTTTCTCGACACTACCAGAATTTTTATTTATTATCTTTTCTGTTTCTTTAGTATTTTCTAGTGATTTTCTTCTTATTAATTGTTTTGATCTTCTTTTCACAGTAGTAAAACCATCATCTTCTGTGCTGCTATCCTCTTCCCTTTCTTTTCGTTTTTTCGGCCCCTTAACCTCTTTTTCATACACTTTTTTTGGTTCTTCTTCAATCAGTTCTCGTTCATATTTATCTAATATATCGGAATCACTCATATCGTCTTCATTTTGACTGTCATCCATTTTATTAATTACGCGAGGGTAGAAGTGAAAGAGTTTCGATACGCTCGATAATACGACTATATACGTGCGTCTCGCCCGCTCGCGCGCAGTACACTGTATAAATGGGCCTGTAGTAGAAAGAACAGACAAGATCTAATACTGACAGTAGGAAGTACTACTTGACTGAATATTTGTATTGTTACTTTGATAAATAACTATGATTTATGTTTTAAACTTAGATTTTGTTTCAATGTTTTTTGATCATGTAGGAGTAAAATTTAAATGTATTTTTAAGAAAACTATTTCTTTTTTACTTAAACATACATAATGAAAATTTAATAATACTTACCAACACTTTGTATACAAGCCATTGGCACGCCAATAATTTTCAAATCAACCAAAGACTTGAAAGGCACAAGGTCAAAATGTAGATCATTTGGTACAATGTTGCTAGAGCCAAACTTTTCATAGCTTCCCTCTATATTTAAACAACGGAGTTGAGAGCAAAAGTCCAAAATGTGACTGAAGTCATACATTTGATCAACCTTTTCTGTAGGTGGACATGCCATTTTCAACCTTTCGCTAATTGCATGAAGCTGTGAAATGATTTATAAATAATAAATAAATTGGGCAATCATTGAAGTCAGATTAATGTTGAATAAAAGGGTACTTTTCACTTCCAAAAAATTATTGCCTTAAAATAGTTATATTTAAATTGCATGCAAATAATAATCTGTTATTATTCTAGAAATTGACATTTCATCAATCAGAATCAGCACAAGGGAATTTCCAATTATGAAAATACCATCCTTTCCTTCAGTCAGATTAATTCACAATTATACACTAGTGGCCTGTTCCAACTTGGCAATAGAATTTTTAACATATAGATCCCTAACAATCCCTAACAATTTCTGAAAATATTCAGGGATAATGTAGGATTCAAATGGTACAAGAATTTTTGAAATTAGTCCAGTACTTTCACAGCATATTAAATACAAACAAACAATCAATAAAATATTTTCTCTATATTTTATTAGTATAGATTATTCACTATACAAACCTCTACAGGTGTAAGCTTGTAAGCTGCTGTATCTTGTAATATCTTATCACCTTCCAAATATAGATTCTTTGCTAAATCTTGTAAAAGAAAAAATATATCATACAAATGGAAGTCCAAAAAGTGAGCAAATTCATACGGCATCGTCAGTCTTAAGTAGTTTAATACATTTTTAAGATATTCATTCAAGGCATCTCGTCTTTGTTCTATAAATTTTGGTGTTTTATTACCGATCACTTTTTTTGGAGGCAGCCATTCTTTGGTGACTCCGTGGTCAGATACAAGTTTCTCATGGAGTTCTACGAACTCGCTGAACCTATGTGAAACGCTCCAGTTAACAGGGCCAACTTTAACAGTAATTTTGTAGTATGTCACATTGTCTTTCGTAACAGCTTCATCAACACTCACTTTGCTATCATCTCTATGACTAATGAACGAGGACATATTTATTATATTCATGCTTCAAAGAAAACAAATGCCTCTTTTTAACTCATTTGTCATTAAACTTTTAATTCTCGCATAATTAATATCAGAACAGGCAAAAAACCACTCGCAGAAGCAGATCAACAATCCGTCCAAAGAGTATAATTTATAATGACATTTTACTTGACAATTTGACTTTCTTCTTTTTTGTTTTAATTTAAGAGCGAAAGGATCAAATTTATTGGAACTAAGGTTGTCATTGATTATCTTGTTGAAGTAAAGCATACTCACGACCCACACATATTTCAAAATACTAGGCGGTACCTATTCCAACTTAATATAGGTATTTTTAAATCCACCAAGTAACCCTACAGTTTAAAACTAACATCAAATATTATTTTTACGCAGCTTCTTAATTATTTACTACAATGAGGAAGTATTTAAATAAAAACGAAAGCACTAAAAAGCACCTCCACTATTCACCGTTATTTCCGTTCCTATTAACTAACATATTAAAAAACTGAAACTTGAAAAGTTCGAAACTTAGATAACAATACAAATACGAAAGAGTACATTTACAATTTGTGTTGTTTATTGAGTTTAGAAAACTAATTTATTTCTAAACATGAAAGAAAACCGGAAAGGTTGTCATAGAGAAATCAAGAACGTACTGTGGCGACATCTAGTTAGACTTCGGGAACTAATGGTTTTTTTAATACTTCCTCATTATAGCACAGTATGTCCGAAATTATTAATTTCAGACATGCTGTTACTTCTACTTTGTCAAATATAAATGGACTATTTATTTATAAAATAAAATATGTCAACTAACCTAATACGTATGGAGTATTAGCTTATATCATACTAAGAATATGTGCACTTAGCATGTATATATAGGTACGTTAGTGCAGTATATGTTATCTCACTATACTTTAACTATTTATGTAATGATTATTGCTTTAGGCACATTCAACGTTGATCTTAAGATATGGAGTACAAAAGTACAATTTCACTCAGTGATCAAAATATCATTCTTCAATGTTAAATCTTATTTATCTACAACAACGTGGGTGCTTCGATGACTGCCTGTAGACCATTCACTACCCATTCTTTATTGGATTATATTAGAACGTCCCGAGGTTATAGGAGTTGTGAGTGCTTTGAAATCGTTTTCGGAATAACATTGTAGGGAGTAACATCATAAATAATACAACAACTTAAATTAACTCATTTTATTAAAAAACCATCGTTGACTAACGAATAAAGGTACGAATATTCATCCCTTTCACACATTAAACACACTGCAAATACATAGTCAGAAGTTGAACTTTAAACAAATAATAATAAAATACATAATCACGCGGGAAGCACTTTAGATAAATAATTTCAACCCCTGGACGGATAGGGACGACAAAAGTTGAAAGTACAGAAATAAAATTTTACATAATCAACTTTCAATAATCAAAAACGTTTCACGAAAATAATAAACGAAAAACATAAAACTTTCTAAAATATAATAATAATTTCTTTTAGTTTCCCTTATTTTCAATAAAATGAGCAAAATGAAACATTAAATAGCATAAGTATTGCCACAACTTAATAGTATAAAGTTGTCAGTTTAAAACTAACAATTATGTCAAAAGTTATCATTACAAATGACAATGAATTAAAGTTCATAACATATCAAATAAAGTAAACAAAAAATAAAAGAAATTGTAATGCATGAAAGTGTACTTTTAAAACTAATATTTCGTACACGTGCTGGTAAAACCTGTTAACTGATAATTTTTACAAAAACGAAATGGGTTTTACCAATAGGTGCAGCTTAAATTTTTTTTATCAAATGGTATATTTAACTCATTTAAAAAAAATGACAGATTACAGGTTATACTAGCATTGATAAGACTTTAATATTACAAATAAGTAAGTCACAAAATACTGTTAAAATATTATAAAATTTGAATATGTACAATAAATTTGTAATTATTTAATCTGTTTTTTTTTTGAACATCACTAGATCACAGTTCAAAATTACATTGATGGCAAAGTCATTAATAATAATTAGCAAGTAAAATAAAACAATATTAAAACTAATATTAGGTACTTAGAATTAAGTATGTGATGTACGCGGTCGCTAAAATAATTATAAAATTTTTGTCGGATGCAGCTCTGTCATAGCAGGTTCGATCAAATAAAACCTAGTTCAAAACGTAATCAAGGTTTATTTCTTTAAAGCTACGACGCGTTACATTCGACGACGACTTCAAGGCTGTTTTTATAGCAGGATACCACTACAGAATACTCGTTTTAAATGTCGCTAATGTTCTGATTAGATGATTTAATTTTTTTTTATGAATGAAATGTCCGTATTTATCACATTTTTCTAAATATTTTACTTATCTATAATGAATAGTAAAGTTAAAAAATCAAATCACTTTCATATTTATACAGTTGAAATATATCAGAATCAATTATAGATTTAAAACAAATCTATAATTGATTCTGAACATACTAAAATTGTATATTAGACTTGAAAATCAATCGCAATTATCTTATAAAAAAAGGACATTTCACATTTCACGTGAAAACAAAAATAAAATCAACAAATTATAAAACACATCACGTTCCACGTGATAATGAGGACATTGTATTTAAAATAAATTGACCCTCGTTTAGTAAAGATCTGGTCTCACTGTCGAAGTTTAATATATTCTTTATCTATTAACATGGACAGGACATTGGATTTTCCCCAAACTATTTAATGTAAAATATTTTAGGTTTGAAATCAACTTAAGAAATAAACCTGATGTGCTGCTTTGCTTAGTTTCTGGATAAAAAGTAAAATAATATAATTTCCAAAAAGCACAATTTTCAATTCCGCATTGAAACATTTTATTTTAATCGTAATTAAAGGTATAAAAAAGAAATCTTATTTACATTCGCGTTTCGATGAAAACTAAGACTTATCTTGATATCCAAAAGGCATAATAAATTATAAATAATTATGTAGGTACACTGTGTACTTAGTCTTAATATTAAAGTTTGTTCATAAGACAAATTGTTTCTTAAATAATAATGAAAATTACTTATTCATTTGTCTGCATTGTGTCGTTCTATAAGTGTGTTCGTTTCCAATATAAAAATGACTAAATAGGGATATCAACTGTATTCAATTTTAAAAGTAGTTAGAAAAACATAATTCAATTGACTCATAAGCCATATTATAACGAGCACCAATCATAGAATATGACGTCATAGTTTACAAAAAAAATGTGATCTGTAGGAGAAAGAAATGTCTTATACACTTCTTAAATACGTTTTAACTACAATCGCTTCAACAGTTGCAGAGTTTCGCCGACATGACGTCAGAACGGGTACGTGTTGCGTACGAATATGATACGGAAAGAAATTTTTAATTCCTTTATAAAAATAATAAAAGTTTTTCCAAAACAGTTATAATCCCTATTGTCAACGTAAAATCATTTTATAAAATTGGCAAGCACTCAATACAAAACTCTATACTGTCGCCATTTAAGATACAAAATACATCATCGTCATCGTATAGTAAAAATATAAATTATTATCACACAGAACGCCTTGTTCGACTGTATAAAGAGAAACAAGAACATGATGCTTAAACATATGTGACGTCAGAGCGTTCCGATGCACGCAATGCTGTTCTGTTGAATCCGCCCGCGGCACTAGCCATCAGTCATAAAGAAACTGATCGTATGTACGTGTCATCTTCGTAATTATCAGCTGATAGCCTTAAAGCGTGTTCTTCGCACAGAGCCGCTAGCTCTTTCAGCCATTCATCTAGCAAAACCGCGTTCAGTATAGATCGTAATGTTACTGATTGACTCCAATATTCCTCCTGTGTGAAATTGAGGCGTTTCTGCGGACTAGCATGGTACACTGTGGGTTGTAAGCTTTGTAGGTTGTGCTGAGATGGTGATGCTACGTGGACAAATGAAAAATATGATTGATCAATAATAATAGCAAATAATTTTACACTAGGATAAAATCTAGAACTAGTCGACACAAGCGTGAAGAGTACTTTTACATAATGAAGATTTAAAAACATGATATGGTTTTTGTGAATGTCATTACTCTCATTAGAGCTGGTGAGTTTCTTGCTCGTTCTTCTTATCAGCCAAAAGACGACTTGACAGAGTGGTAGGGAAAAATATATTGTTTGAATAAAGATTATTTTGACTTGACTTAATGGACAGTACTGCTGTCTCGCATTAAAACGCAATAGGAGCAGTTACAGTATTAAAGCGTAACGCGGGTTTACAATGACTACAGTTAACAACAACATTACAATGACTTGAAAATAAAAACAATTATTTTAATATTAATCTTAAAACAAAATATTACCTTACATATGTTTACATGTAAAGGAAAAAAAATCATAAAAACCTTTCATAGTAATTTCATCAAAATGGAACGTTCAACACAGCTTTTTGCCATTTAACGGCAGAACGAGTATCGGGTATAATGAAACTAAAAGTTTGATTATACTAAGAATAGGTAACATATATAAGAAGCAAGTGAAATAAAACCTTAAGTCATAAATTTTATATTTAAATAAGATTTCTGAAAGTACTTCCGAATCATCCAACATTTTTTCATACCATCTATTCAGGTCGTCTGCTGGTTGATAAAAAAAACAGATACAAAAGAACAGAAAAGAAGTTATTCACTCTTAACAGTAATAATTTTTACACAAACGTATGTTACCAAATATTACAATGTTAACAATTAGCTATCATATAGACACTCTAAATACAAAGTTATTAATTAAACCCGCATATCGTGACAACATTAAAATAACATTACTTAAAGCTAATATTACTTTGGAATCATCCAACATAAATGTAGGTAAAACTACTGGTTATTCAAGGAGTGTTTTGGCTGATAAATGTGCAACTGTCCAACTTCAGTAATGATGATTTTTACACAAACTTATCCAAATCAATATCCATCACTTCAAACTGACGAAATACATCTAAGTATAAAACTAGTTCTCACCTGAAGGTCTTCTTCCAAACATGTTAGACAAACTTGATGATATACTGCGTCTTTTAGCTTCCACTCTCCGAAATGGAGACGGAGAATCTTCGGGTTTAAGCGTTGAAGAGTCCGTACGCGTTTGTCCTAATATATAGCAAATTATGTCAAGTGACTCATCATCATCATCATCAGCCTATTAACGTCCCCATTACTGTGACACAGTGGACTAATGGGGTAGTTTCGGTAATAAAAAATAAATCACGAAAATGCACAAAAACTAATATTTACATTGTAATAAACATAGAGATTCTGATTTTGAATCTTAAAATAGCACGATTATCTTAATATTAAAAGTCGTGATTTTTTGTCTGTGTGTCACGTCACTTGAAACACGACCCGCCATTGTGTGACGCCACCGTGGCGACAGCTATCATATTAGTCATAAAGATATGATTATTAATTATAAACCGAATTCGTAGATGGCGCCGTTCTTGGCTCATTTATATCTTTTTATTTCGTAATCGATCGTTAGATGGAATTTTTAGTGTTTCGTTGGCATCTTCAAATCTTTTACTCTATGCATATGTTTTGTGCATAGAGTAAAGGTTTTGTGTATGTATCACAATAATGTCAAGGAACGTGTTTATTTGTCGGATATATTTATTTTATGACTTTTTAGATTAAAATAAACAGTTAGTAGATAGCAATACTATTACAAGTCGATTCAAAATTGAAAGCAAGGTATTAAATCTATTTTATTAATTTAAAGTTTCTTAACAATAAAAAAATCCTACTTACGACATCAGCAGGTACTTGAGTTAGTAGAAAGGTAGATTAAAAACTAATAATATTTTAGATTCTGTTAAATAGATAATAATGATAATAATATAACTAACCGTCTTCACTCGCTGGCGCTCGCGAGTTGACTAATGCCATCTCTCTCTGTATCAGGAACACTCGCGCCTTGTCTACTAGCTCCATGGTATTGGCCAATCCATTAGTCAGTTCATCCACTTCTTCCCTTAATTTATTTAAAATCTATAAATACAAAATAAAACTTTAGTGAAAAAAACGGAAACCACAATGTATGCTGTACGTACATATTGTAACTCGAAGAAAAAGTCGTTTGCGTATATGCTAGTAAAAAAAAAAAGAATTGTAAATAATTCATAACTTGCGAAGTATGAATTCAATCATTTATATCCATAATTTACTCTCAAAGTACCTAATCTAAAATTGGGGACTCAGAATTTAAAATTTGGAAACCAACATTGGATTACAGTTTTGATCTTTTGTCTTCTCTACCGACGCACGCCTTTTCTGCATTTTTAAATGAAACAATATTTATTAAGAAAATTGCTTAAATATTATTTTTATTTTCAGAAAACAAGCGCTTTCATTTGATTTTGAAACTTTATAATTTGCCCTTATAAAATTGTTAACACGTACACTGGTCTAGGTAGTCTCGGAAAAAATCTGGTGCGACAGTTGTACGATCAAACTAGGAAACGAAAAGAAGTTGTTCTTTTTCCGTTTTTACCGTTTTTCCTTCTTCCAGAGAACTTAAAAAGGAACACTTCATCAGCTTCGTTTGATGTTACAGTACCCACGCACACACGTCACAATTATTTGCCTATTTATAATATTAACCTAGATAGTATGAATTACCTGGTACAATGAAGGCACATTAGGTTGCAGCACGAAATTTGGACAGAGCAGTAACGAAGTCAGCAGTGGAGTGGGCAGGGATACCAGCTTAGATACGACGCTCGTCACTCGACCGTTCACCATCACTTCGGACTCGAGGAACGAGGCCACTTTCTTTAGGAGACTGCTCAGAAGCGGGCCTAGAATTACGGTTTTGAAAGTACAGTCTAGTCTAGTCGGTGTTTCTATTTCATGTTTTTGGCACAGTCTTTTTCCTCGATTATAAAATTACACCATCGATTTATTAAAGCGCCATTGTTCAAGCAATATTGGCCCTCTTGTTATACACAGTCGAAAAGTCCACAATTTACTCGAAATTCTCCAAGCAATTTTATGCATTTAATTGTTTTAAGTTCAAAATTAAATCTAATAATTTTGACTTCTCTAATCTGACGTTCTTTTATATATGTATACACATGGCCGCACATCTTTCCACAATATTTCAAATATTCTAAATAGATTTTGAACAATTTAAATGTATCTTTCAACTGGAGAAATTTAGTAATTTGTATAGCCTGACGTGCAACAGCATTCTGATTGCTTCCTACAAAAATGGACAATGGAAAGGAATACCGTATACGATCACTTACCGATTATTGATTCAGCGCTCGCTTTCCAACTCCTAACCGATGTCATATCACCATCAAACTCCATTGCATTATCGATTCTATAAAAACTCTTCTTAAAAATATCTTCAACAAAATTGTCATCGTCATTTTCTTCCTTATACCTAAAACTTTCATAATCACTACTTTCGCCTAACGACACACAATCTTGCTCTTTCAAATCTGCATTTACTTTCTCTGTCTCTTGTTCTAACAGTGACGTCAAACTATGAGGTTCTTTTTCACTGGTGTCACTATTCTTTAACGTATCGTAACCGCTAGTACACGATATCAAACTGTCCTGCTCTTTCAGCGCGTGTATATCCATCTCTCTCGTTTCTTTTGTGTTATTGTTTGTTTCTCGCTTCGGTGATGTCACATTGTGGTATTTCGACGACCAGTTGAGACAAGCAATTGTGCGTGATACTATTTCAAACCGCGCGTCGCATAAATAAGCGTGGTAATTAGCGTATAAAGTTTCGTTGGGGTTCTGCAAAGAGGGAAATGAATACATTAATAAAGAACTTCACTTTAATTTTCAATAAGACATTTTTCTTCTGATATGTATGGCCCGAAATTAAATATTGTGTAAAACATGTAATAATCAATAATCAGGATAGAGGATAATTTTGTGTTTCTTTATATTACAATCATAATATGGATATGCCTATTCGAAAAAATGCTTTAAGTATATAATTTTCTTTGACTGTTGCACTTTTGCTAATGAGATTTTGTTTTGATGTCTTTATATTCTTTATCCTTAAAACAAAAATCGTTTAAATCGGATCAAGCAAAAACTTATTTTTTGTACCTATTGAAAATCTTAATAGCTTAGGCGGTACTGTATTTGATATTTGTGCTCTATTCACGCTAAATAAATATCATGCTTAGGATAATAATCATTAGTAATGCTAGTAAATAAGAAGATATTTTAATGTTTTTACTCCACGCGAACGCGATTTAGTTTCCAGTAGGTGAAAGAATTTTTAGATCCGATCAATATTTTCGAAGACTACCCCTACACCGAAAAAATCTTTACCTCTTTATAATGTTAGTATAGATACGTACCCCGTAATTAAACCTAACTTCATGGACTAGATTCTTCATTGCTATACCACCATCATGGTATCCATTTATTCTCTTACTATCATCATCTTGCTTGAAGTCTAAAACTCTTCTGCCCGTGTGCGCTAATTCGTCCACCCATTCTTTAGTTTTTTCTAAAGCCCTGGTGCAACATCTAGGTGTTAAACTGAGGAAGGCCACAGCGGCTTCTCTGTAAGGCTCCGGATCCGATATCTTATGCCTTTGATTCACCATTAAATGGTGACCGTTCAATAGATGTTTCAATACCAGATCTATCATCACATCCTCACAATTCAGGTCGACGAGTGTCTCCATCAATGACAAAGACACTAAAGATAGCTGAAATGAAAATTAAAGTAAAAATTTGGTATCGGAACCGCTTGGAGTTTATTTACTGTATATGACCTCATGGACATATGTGAAATTCTTGATGGTGGCAAAGGCAGACCTTGGGAGGGGTTAAATTAACTTTCTGAAATTAAATGTTAACTTCAAGCTGTATTTGCAAACGTTAACACCCAGTCCCAGCAGCGGGAACATTAATAGGTAGTTGATCTGCTCAAACCACACTTAATGTTTTTTGGTAAAGAAACTCACCTGCGAATTCCCCTCCAATCTCTTCAACAGTACGTCAACAATCCTGACACCGTCATACTCGTACACGAACAGAAAGTGTAGCACCGCCTTAAGCAGGCCCCTACGCGTGACGCATCTCAACACCAGCTCTAGATACGCCATAGCGGCCGCCTGCTCGCCGGCCCCACTCTGCAACGGGCCCCCTTTCGTCTACGGTCGTGTTCCGAATTAGTCGGGCTTTATACACGTCAAGTGACAGTTCGTTTGGCTCGAAAATAATTTTGAAAAATAGCTAGGAATTTGGCTCACGAAACATAATAATAACTATATCAGAAAAAAAAAATCTTGAAAAATAAAAACGTCTTGCATTAAAAAAAAAACAAAAAGTAAATCGACAAATACTACTGTAATTTAAATAGGTCTTTACCTACGAAAGCGTAAGTGTTTGATTAGAATGCGATCTAATCTTAAAAATACGAGTTCAAATAGACAAATTTGCAATAGCTAATGAAATACAAATACACTCAGAAATGTACATTTTAAATTTCCATTAACCAAATTACCCTCTTGACATCAGAACATAGCAAACCGTAAGCGTCGCACGGGAGCGCCAAGAACAGAAAGCGTTTAACTCCAACCCCATTATTTAAAAAGCCTTAGTAACAAAATCCTTCTTTCAGTAAAAAAATGCAAATCTTGTGCTATACATGGAAGGGCGATCGTAATCACTTAAATGTAATTTATACACAAATATACTAATGTGAATTTATCATGACAACTACATATTCCAATATCATAAAAATAATTGATGATTTATCTAAGAATATGAAAGTGAAAACTGTTATCAAATCAGACAAGGCGTTAATGAAATATAAAATAAAGAAAAATCATACATTTCATAAGTAAAGACCTATATTAGTAATGATTTATAACAAAAAAATATGAGAAAAATGCTATATGATCTGCTATATAGATAAATTGTAAATGTATAAAAAAAACACTTTAAACCTTTAGCCCAAGCCATCACCCAAAACACGATGTAAGCCCAATCGAATAACAAATATGAACTCACTGTCACTCAACCTAAGAACTGGTTTCGCTTGATGCCCAAGTGCTCGACCAATCCCGCGTGCGAAAAAGCCCGATGATTCGAATGGACGCAAACAACAGCATATTTTACTTTCATTTATAATGGCAATAGTGAAAATGAAAGAAAATATGGTCATGAACTTCCATAACACTAACCGTTATCAGACCCAGTAGTAGGATAAATCTTTTATCAGTGCACATTTTCTTTATTGTTTAGTATCGTTTATATTTATCACCAATGAAATAGTATTGTAATTATGTATATTTAAACATTTACTTGATTATTAAGTAAAAACAAGTAGGTGTGTCAATGTAATCTGATCGTAAGTGGAAGTGCTTTTATAGAATCATTTCATCTCTTTCTTTAACTGAAATGGTAAAAGTTGAATCAAAGAACAAAAACGTGTCTATGATTTACATAACGATTATTTGTGCACTGATTAAAAACAATCCGTATTTTACCGGATAGTTCGTAACGAAATCACATTGAGTTGACGTCTTCAATTCGTTTGCAGTTTCACATAAGCAGAAATTTCAAGGGAATTTAAAATTTATTCATAAGGCGAAAATGTTATGTCACTTTTCTAGAGACAAGTAAGATATTGTATGGACATTTTTTAAAGTGTTCAAAAAATCATAGTAGGGTAACAGCATCCTTTTATGCTGAAATATAAATATCTTTCTTATTATTATTATTTTATCGTTATAAGGAAACTTAAATGTTTTTCAATAAATAAGTCTATCAAGAATATGTCACATATGAATAACAAAACTTCACTTCTTTATTAAATCATAAACATGTTATCTCTTTGTGATTCCGATACAAAATCTTTAATATTCCATTTTGAAACACACATGTCAACCATAAACAATGTTATAAAGTTATAAATCGAACGAAAAGTATATTTCTTGTTTTTTATATAAAAGCGTACATTAGAAATCGCCATGCACATTTTTTTATTTTGTTGTGTAACAATGTTTTGCTTATCGAATTATATGGGATAAGAGCAATACGTATGTATGTAAATATACATTTCTTTAATAAGTAACCGATTATATTTTATTTTTTTCAAGGAATATTTCAAACGAGTGTTAATTTATAGTTTTGCATATAATGTCTTATCATCATATGCATATATTTATGAAGTTTTGTAGTCAATTATAACTAAATTAATCTGTGAAAATGATTATGTATATTGTACAGTCCATAGAACGTCGGGCTATACAAAACTCAAATTTTTCTCCCCTTAATTTTCAGCCTTAAGACGATTGACATTTTGATTTTTGTTTTTGCATTGATAGAATTATTTTTTATTTTTATGGTGACCTAGTTTGATTCTGTAATTCCATTTTCATAACGACGTACACATACCAGTAAATCCGATTACAAAATGTCGAATTTCTGCAATCAATATTGACCTCAATATTCAACTGTTTAAGATTTAAAATCTATTAAAGATATACAAGATCCTTATATGCCGTTAACTATATATATGTATTGTAATGTCACTTTTAATTAGGTATCTGGTTGGTAGTAACTCTAAGTAAGACTGATAAAATTGAATTTTGTCCGAGACTTCCCTCCGGCAATACTTTCCTATAGCTAAGTAAAACTACCCTACATATTGTTCACTAACCCTTAAACCAAGAAGATCAAGGGGCCTTCTCCGGCCATCCTTGGAGTGATTTTATAGTCGACTTTCTTTTATTTATTTTAAAAAAAGAAGAATTAACCTACTTTCCCATAATTTTAAATAAGATAAACCAAAACTACCAGATTATATAGATTCATAATTGAATTCTAAAAGATCTATTATATTATTTGAAGTATGGTAAGAGAATGAGGAAATTCTATTGATTTGCATAGATTCGTTTACAAGTTTAATAACTGTTACTTTCTTATACATCTGAAGTTACATAAAATGCATAAATTCATGTTGGAATAACGATGTAAGATAAGACTGTTAATTCAGATATGGTATGAGATTTATTAGACATTTAGATTTAAGGAAAGGTGTTTTTTTTTATAATTTTAGATATTTTATAACCTAATAAAGGATATTGTTTAAATGTTGTCATATTAACTTATACTAACTAAATAAATTAGTAAAGTACTCCTCTTATTACATTCTTTCAGTTGCTTGAAAGAGCACAATAAGAGGAGTAGTGAGAAAATTTACTATAGTATGCATAATTTATTAAAAATATTTCATTTCAAAAAAATAAGGCCTTTGTTAATAATGTTTATACGAAACTGTTCTTGTAATTTCTTCACCTGGTATTACTGTAAAAAATGTAGTTAATATATACTATAGCATTTTACGCACTTACAATCAGTACTGTTACAGGGCAAACAATCGTATAAATATTAGTTTGTTTTTGGCTCCATATAGTATGGAGAATTTTATTTTCTATATGACATAAAATTTACACTTTAACGTCACCTTGAAACCGGCGTGCAAGCCACTCAGGCGGTCAATACGACATATCTCTATCCATGATGGTGATTAGGCCAATTCAAAATTGTAATCTAAACCAGGTATCGTCAAACTTTTAATACTGTCGAAATCCACCAAACGTATAATCGATCCATAAAAGTTGAAAACCCCTGCTCTTAACAGATGATGGCGTGTAAACAATAAAATGCAAAAGGAAATAATTGTTTACTCGAAATCTATTAGGAATATAGTAACATCGTGTCAGTCTTTAACGGGAACCAACATACAAATTTATTTTCTTTAAAAAATAAAATAATTACGTAACGAAATTGAAAATCGACTTGCTCCATCTTATTATGAATGTGGATCCATTTCAAAATATTTAGAACACACAAAGACAAATATTAATAGACACACGAGTTAATAATATATAGTAAATAATTTTCAATGAGCCGTTTTCATTTTTTACATGACAAGAACAATACCATAAAATTCAAAAATTACAAATCCACTGAAATTTCAGATAAATATATAAAATAATAAGAAACAAAGTAACAATGTTTTAATACACATAAAAGGACAATTACAAGTATCACTCTCCCCGAAAAATCCCAAAATAAGCGAAGCAATAAAGTTGAATTTCCTTTACCTGCAAAAGTGCTGGTCCCATAACAGGCACAAGGAACCCCTGGTATAGGAGATCCAGTAGATGTTTCTTTATGGACGGATGTGCTACCTATAATTAATTAAAATATTATCCAACCACAATGGAGTTTACAAATACAATTTACATAAATAACACAGGTCTGCGATGAAAAAGTTTTTTTGAGAATTTTAAAGATAACTTGTACATGTTGACGTACATAATGCAAATGTAAACTTTTTTTTATTGAAACACATTTTTTTATCGGAATATTAAATTTATAATTAATTTTTCATACACATTCATTAAAATTCTGCTTTAATTAATAACTTTTTAACGTCCATTCAGAGCGCAAGAATTTAATGATTTGGTACGGGATCTTGGATTACCCAAAGATGCTGCAGAATTACTCGGTTCACGCTTAAAAGAGAACAATTTATTGGATGCGGGGACATTTTATTGGTATCGAGACTTTTTACAGTAACGAAGATGGAAGATGGAAAACCTACAAAACGCAGTTTCCTTTCAAAGAAAACACGTGATTGATTGTTTTTTTTTTATTCGTATTAGATTTTACTCTTTTTTATTTCATTCAAACTCAATAATATTATAAAACTGTAAAAAAAGCCTTTCATTATTTAAAAAAAAATTGACGTGTAGCTATTTATATGCTAATACTATAACCATGTATAAAACATACCATGTAAATCTGAGTAGTGTGAAGTGGTATATACCAAATAAATGCTGTTTTATATTATTTCTAACGTAATTATAACGAATACGAACAGTGAATGAAAAAAACTTTTCAAAAAAATAATTTCGCAGACCTGTGTAACTAGTCATTTTTCATTTCGCCCGCGTAAATTGACTGACTGTAATTATGGTGAAAGATCGATCCAGTATTTTTGAAACCTATTCAATCACAGACATATAGTTTTGTAACCGCATTAAAATAAATGCGCATAAGTCACTAATCTCTTTGCGTCGGAAGCTGTGATGCCGATAGTTATACTTTGGCGTTTGAAGAACGGCAAGAGTATCTAATGAGATAAGGGTTTTAATTGGAGGGCTTTATTTTATAACCGACTAGTAGGAAACCCCATATATTTTTAGATAGCTTCTTCGGGCTTCGGTTATTGAGAATCGAAAGGTTTATTAAAATACCAAGACGAAACTGTTTCTGGTCAGAATATTGCTTAAAACTAAGTTGATTTGTTATAATGCTCGCTAACGATTACGCTCAAAGCAAGCATTTTCGAATCGATTGTAGTATTATTCGAATCGTTCGCAAGCCGTGTTTATAAGTCTTTCTATTTTTCAAACAAACCTGGGCAACAGCATTGCAGAATTCCAGAGAGTCGATGAATAACGTGAGCTTGTTCACGTTGTTAACATCGTCTGGTGTTAGTCGGTGGACTTTTTCGCTTAACGTTCGAGGTAGAAGTGAATATAAACCGCTTAGACCTTAAGACAACAAGACAACAAGAGATTTATTCATTAGTCACAAATAAATTAGTTACCAACCAACACTGCGCAATTCTTGGTTAGGGCAAACCTTCTTCTTGATTCACTTATTGCAACACTGATTTAAATTATTTTGAAGTGGGGTTGGATTCGGAGCAATCTGCCGGATTGTGGACAAGATCGGGTATTATCAGGTAGCCCAGCCAAGGTTTGAAATTGATCCCAGTGACTGGAGAACTCTTATTTAAAACAATAGGCGCAAAAAAATTGATTAGGATTTTCTGCACTTCGAAATTTACATCGGTAAGCCGATATGAGTTATCTGTAATAGAACAGTAAGCCGATTCTGCTATGTACTATTTACCTAAAGTGAAATAGATTAATGCAAAGTCATCCTCACACATCAATGATGATATATATATATAATAACATTGGACTTCAAGAAGATAGTAGTGGCAAGATGCAAGTAGTCAAGAACCTATTGAGATGCGATTATTACTTAAACATGTGACAGGGTCGGCTTTGGTGTTGGTACGTAAATGAAATCTGACTAGGTTTGATAAGTAGATATATTTATGGTTTAAATAAAAAATTGTAACAAAAAATAAAGAATATCAAAACAGTTCGTATGGATTTCTAAAATTATGATGGTTTGCAGGTAGAGTTAAATAAAACAATTACATAGAAATTATAAGAAATTCACTTTAAATATATTTGATCTTAACAGACTAAAACATTTTTGAATTATTTAATAATTTAAACATTAAAAATTAAAACTGACATTCAGAAAGAGCATATCACGTTACTCAAATTTTCAAATTTCGAAAAATTATTAATAATAAAAAATGATGTTAAAGATCAAACACAAAAGTTTGGATGCGAAACCCTAGGACAAAATAAAAAGTTGTGGCACGACGCACCGTTACAAACATTAGCAGAATTGGTCTGCAGATCGACTTTATTAAGTAGATAGCGCTAGTTAAGCTGATTATGACACGTGTTAACAGTCAAACCTACCCGTAGCTAATACAGGACAAGTGTTGCCAGTCAACATATACTCGGCGAGCTGAGTACACCGGGACGACATGTTAGCGCAGAGTAGTAGCGCATCCCGCGCGGCTGATCCAGTGCTGCCCTCCCGGTGTACCGAAGCTAGGAGCAACCGCACTATGATGAATCTGTGAATTTCATATTTGAATATTACGAAACACAATTTGTAGCACAGCAGGTTACTACAAAAATAGAAATTTCTGTAATCAATTTTAAGCCAATTCAAAATTTATTACAGAAAGTTGTCGGCTCAAACTTTCAATCTTTCGACTTCTGACTTAAAATGTTATTTTTATCTTACATGAATGTATACTATTCTATATTAATATAGTTTTTCAGTTTACCTACGTCTTTAATTTTAAATCTATTCATTAGTTTTTAGTTCGGGTTCCGCCACTGGCTTCGTCGGCGTTGTCCTGTATTATACATATAAACCGTCCTGTTCAATAACTCTGTATTTTTATGAAAACCGCTTAAAATTCGTTGTGTAGTATAAAAGATCTCAGCGAACAGATAGTGGAAAGCGATCCAGTCAGTTATATTTTTTCAGTAGTCAGTAGTTTGGGTGGATTGCCTGAACATCTATCAAAATACGCTCTGTAGTAGCGAAAAAGTAAAGAGTGTTCAAAAAATTTGGCTGTCCTGTTAGGTTCTGCGCAGAAGTGGTAAGAACAGTCACCCGGATTACGATAGGTCATGGGTTCAAGTCCCATCTGAGATGCCAGAGACAAAATTGATTTTTTAAGCATTTTTCATTAAGAGTATTTAATATTTTAAATGCAAAATTGATCAAATATAATAAAGATGAAAACTAAACTATTATTGATCAAATACAATAAATATTAACAATTCAAATATTTAAGATATAGTTTGAGCATACTCTGCTTGGGATCCATCCTGCGTATGCGTTGTCAAGAAGAATAAATCTAAGAACTTCATGTTCTGCATCAAGGCCACACATAATTGGTTCAGTACAGTCACTAATTGATCTGAAATAAATACAATATTATATTAATAAGATGATGCCTGGGTAAAAAAAAAAAGAAATTATATTTAGGCCGCCAGTTATATAATAGAAACAAATTAGATAGGTACGTAATTCTTTGCTTCAAGTTAAAGAGAAAAGGAACAGATAATAGACAATAAAATTTAAGTGTGAGGTCTCATTACGTCATAACTATGTAGAAAACCAACATGGCCATGACGTCATTGTTTAAGCTTTTTCAATAATCTACCAGACAGACAAAAAGAAATCAGATCTGTATTCCTGTAGTTTTATTACCATAAATATGGAATATTAAATTCTACTTACTTTCTAAATTAGGCGAAGACAACTCGTTTCTAAATCCACTGAGCAGTTTCAACAACGGCCTGAGAAATGGTTCTGCAGCAATAATCTGTGCGGATATAATTTCACAATAAATTTTATTTTTTACTCAGAAAATTCTACTTAAATAATTTGTTATAGCAAGATACTACAAAAATACAGCACCCCTGTCGCAGCATTAGAAGTTGAAAACTTAATTCAATGGTAATTAAGCTTTACTTGATTAAATTTCTATTGCTGTATTTTTTACAAAACAGAAATGCTGGATTTATTATTAATTAATTTTGAATTTTAATTATCTCATCTTTGATTCATGCATCTGTATCAAATATATGTGTTATTTTCACTGCAATAATCAACTATTATAATAATAATGTACCAATATATTTTCAACAAACCTGTGTACTATAGTGACTGATAAGAATTCCATATAATTTCAACTGTTCGAGTCGCACAGCATTTTCATATCTGGAACAAACACAATTAAATTATTGTTTCAAACAACTCCGGATCTACGAGTTTTTCGAACTCTCTAGGACATTTGGGATAAATTGGTAAAAAAATCAAGCTAATTGTATATGACATTATTGGTATTGGTCATAATGGTATTAAGTTTCTAACGCATAAAAATACTGTTTGTTGCTTATAAATTACTTTATATCGTTATATATCCTTACACAGTGCTATTAAGAAATAAGGTTTAGCGTCAGAGAAAAATTTACGCTAAAATTACAATTTTAGTATTAGTCCAAATTCATATTATAGAGAGAATAAGCAAACCTACTACCATCTAGGAGTAAATATTACTCCTCGTAAAACCTCGGTTTACCTTTGCACAGTCTAATAATATGAATTTTGACCAATACTAAATGCAATCTCCGCGTAAGTTTACTCCAACGCTCATAAAGTCTTGTTTATTAATAACACCGTAAAAGTATATGTCTTGCTCTGAAACTAGACAACAGGATATTTTACAGGTGAAAAGGAAAGATTTTCATTCCTTTCTGTCATAGGAGGTCGTTAGTTGAGAGATAACAAAATGCCTCAAACTCTTATTAAACAGATCACGTGCAACAATAGCAACAACCTTCATCAATATTTGCCATTCACAAATGAGATGTTAGAAACAATATGTCATAAGGTGAACCTAATGTACAAATGTATGCACTACAAAAAGACATCGCAATCAATTTGAATCTCTACTTCTAACAGGTTAAGGTTCAAAATTAAAGAAAACATTGCCAGTTTGTAACTGTTGCCTGAATATGATAATGCTAAAATGATAATAGGATTTCCCAAGGACCTTATCTCGCTAGTGTTATCAATAAATTAAAACAAAGTTATAACGATGAATTCTTCAATAAGAACCCAATGCTATGTAATGGAATGATACCACGTACCCAATATCAATATTGGTCATTGATTACTAATGTACTTTTTTCACAGTACGAGGGTAATCATTTATGGTAATCAAACATCACATAAGGATAACGAAACGTTTTCGTACAAATAAAAAAAAACAAATAAGTTTTAATTTTAAAAAAAGAGAGAAAATACATTATATTTGTAAAAGTTCTGTCATAACCAAAACATGATATTATTAAATTACCTCAATAAGAAAAAATGAGAAAATAATGAAATTAACCATGTTAATGTTAAATACTCAAAGCGTAAAATCCGTCTGTCGGTCAACTGGCTGTATTTCAGGAACCGTGATAGCTAGACAGTTAAAATTTTCACAAATGTTGTATTTCCGCAACTTTAACAAAACACTAAAAACAGAATGAAATAAATATTCTCCCATACAACAAACGTAGTAGCGCGATGGCGTAGTGAATAAACGGCACGGCCCGCGTTCGTTATTATTAAGCAACTTTCGCAAGGGTCATTCACGTGGTGGATGACCAAAAAATTATCTCGCGCTACTCCGTATTTTTGAAGCCACATTAAGGTCCATTCCGTATATTGGGCCAGCTTGGAAGTTCATGGCCCATCCTCCTTAACCATCCATAAGGAAGGAGCCCCTACAGCGGGGACGTAAATCGGCTGATGGGGATAAAACGTGTTTTTTGTGTTTAGTGAACCTTGATTTTTAATTCTTTTTTGTAATTATACATTTTTTTATAGGGAACATAGATCAATATGCAAGTGTTCCTACTTATGCAGCACTAATTAATTACAATAAGTTCTTTTGTTTAGAAGTTATGAGTAATTAATTACAATTAGTTCCTGATGCGCGATTCGTAATCATTTGTCTCTATTAATATCATTGGCGGGCGTCATTGTCTTTTGTCTATACGCGCACTCTTAAGTAGGTCTTTACTGCGGTCGCGGTTAAAACGAACGATTATTATCATGTTACTTGTGCTTAGGTGTGATACTAGAAATTGATACCCTTTGCATATCCAGAAATGAAACATAGACAGACAAATCGAATAACATTAGACAGATTGTATACGGCCATCATTACAAAACGGGACTTACTTTACACACTTATTTGGGATCTGAGGGCCTACTCTGTTGGTCTACGAACGAAACTTCGGAAATTTGCAAATCATTCTTATAATTCTGTCAAAATCATATCTTGCATTAGAGACAGTGTCCTGACACCTACATCTATTGCATCATAAGTTATTAAAAAATGTTTATTTGAAGTCATATTAGCGTTTCGAAAATAGATAAAATTTTGTTTTCGTAGAAACAGTAGGCCTTTTGGGTAATGTATGTGATACTGAGTAATGCTTATTTATTTACATGCTTAAATCCCACTTCTTTATATTCATATTCATACCAAATTCACATACGAGATGGTAAACAGAATTGAGCGCCACAAGGACGGTCATTACATAATAAACTATTTAAGGAGGCAAAAGATATATTATGTAACGACCGTCTTCACTCAACACTATTTTAATTTTTTTCGCAGCTTTTATCAGATCTGATATCACCTTCCGATAACACGCGATCTGTTTTTATGAAAGGTGTATCTTGAGATTTCTCGCATTCTACATCCTTCCTAAATATTCTACCTTAAGAGTGCCGTACAAAAAAAAAGCATCGTATGCTAATTTCAGCTTTTTTTTTGCAAGAACGTCATTTTTTTCTCTATAGAAAAAATAATAACATTAATATTTTTCTTTTTTCAATTTTTTCTAGTACCTACTGTTTTTAAGAGGCTAATTAATAAATTTGTGCCGAATCGCTTAACAGCCGAGGACTTTATGCAACAATAATCATACAGTTCTATTTATAAAACAACGGTTTAACGTCAGAGTATATTTAGGCTAAAATTGCAATTTTATTATTAGTCCAAATTCATATTATACAGAGAATAAGCAAACCTACTACCTTCTAGGAGTAAATATTACTACCGTAGTACTTTGTAGTAGGTTAGTTAACCTTTGCTAATTCTCTGTTTAATAATATGAATTTTGACTAATACTTAGTGCAGTCTCAGCGTAAATTTACTCCAACGCTAAGCCTTGTTTATTAATAACACTGATAGTGATTTGCGAGCATTAATTAAAACCATTTTTAACAGGCAACTCGTTCATCTTTAATTGTTAAGAAGTAATCATAAGCAAGTTGAGCATGTAGTATTTAATATTTATAGAACACGGCCTTCCGTAGAACTAAGATGTTAATAATCTTATTAAAATATCTTAGATACAGTCAATCAAAATATTACCAAAAAATATTAGGTAAAGCATCCACTACAATACCTAATAATGGATGCATATTACACAGTCAAGAAATTTTAACGAACATTACGCAAGTTTTTACATTCACTTGCATAAATTATATTTCTTTCGTAGATACATATTTTAGTATATAATTATGTGATTAATCAATTCATCGGTAATATGGTGATAAGGGAATTCGATTTCAAGATTCCAAAACCAGGAACCATAAGAACAAATTTATTATTTTATTAGTAAATATTAGAATAGTAGATTAAGAACGCTCGATACAGGAACTGTTAAGTTAAATAATGTAATTGCAATTGTAACTGTTTGTATAGGAACAGCAGAGCGATTCTGTAAAAGTCAGAATCCGAATTCGAATTCACTAAGGCGCCTTAATTCACTTCGCGACACAAAGCGATATCTACTTAATCTTGAATTGGTATTAACATTTCGTGGCATAAGTGAATCGAGTTTCGAAATGACATAGGAATAAAATATACGAGACACGTATGAATCAATGAAACTTGTTTTGCATTTTTATAAAAAATGGAATCAATAGAATAGCTATACTAATATAAAATAAGCGATTCAGCTTTCGAAGTGAATACGTTCACCTGATTGAATTTAAGTTCAGATTTGGATTTCTAAGGAATCGCTCTACGAGTATTATACAGTTGTCACACTTTCTTAGTAAAATTTTGAAAATCCCGGAAAATATTTATCAATCACGAAATACCGGGATTGGAAATAAGATTATTGGTGACACAGATACAGCCATAAACTATAGTCAGTTAGTGTTAAAGATATATTACTCTAACTGTACAGACCAATTTCATTAGGTAACAAAGCAAATATAATAATTCATAATAAATAAATATCAGTGGTCAGATAAGATACGGGCCGTTCGATTAGAATAATAATAAATATTGATAAAGTACTTACGAATATAGTTATTAAGCAAATTATCTTTTTTTGTCACACATCGTATGCAATAATGTAAAAATAGTTAAGCGTTTACGTTTTAGGTAATGCAATCAAATAGTGATATAGTTTACACCAGTGTATTTCAAAACGAGAGCTACGCAACTAAGCCACACTATAATGGCATACTTTTAAGACGGCATAATTTCTTTTGGTATAATTACGTTGAAAAAAATATATATATCGTAAGAACTCGAAAAGTGAGCAAGGCGAGCACCATTAAATGATTTTGACTTTTGAACCTTCAGAGAAATTACGGTTTTACATTTTAATTACAATGAATATAAGTTTATGCTTAAAAATGATTCTGACTTTCAAAACTATCTGCTCTGACTGTATGCTATAGGACAGTATACCTGTTCTGTATTAATAATAATTTAAATTACGAAAGATGACAATGAATCGAAATTGTGCTTTTCATAAATAACTATCATAGCTATTGAGCAAAGAGAATTAAAATCGAGCAACAATCACTAAGCGCTTTATGAAACAACACAATGGGAATATTTACAGTTGTCATTGTTAAGTAAAAAAGGAATAAGAAAGCGACACAGCAAAGCAACACTTTCAATGACAACAATGTCTTCTTTAAACAGTTCAACTGTAGCTGGAAAATGATCATGTTTGTTCCTGCGTGTCCCGGAATTTCATGAGATTTGTATGAGTAGCCAGTTTTGGAAGGTACCGTCCCCATTGCAATATTTCATATTCAAAAATGACAAGATCTTGTATGTAGTTTCCGGAGAAATAATTAATTTATTTGCAATAAAATATATCAATAAATAAATGTAATATGGCAAGCAAAGGAAACAAGAAAATATCAATGTCGAAATACTGTGCCAAATTCCAGCTGGATCCAACAAGTGGGCTAATTTTCTAACTTCAAAATATCCTATCAAAAGTATGGCGATTATTTATTTATGTTTTATTGCACAATCAAAAATTAATAAAATGACAGACTTAAGGCATTATCTACGAGTCAACCAGAGAATTAAATTAATTAATTAACTAAAGAAAGCAGTGAACACAGTTGGTTTATAGTTTACTTGATAGTTTAATCGACGCCAATATTTGAATTTATATATATAACTGTAGCATATCTGGAAACTATTATTTTGTTGGCAAAATGAGGCTGATTGGCCAAGTGTGAGTCGAACTAGCGCACGAAAGATTCAGTATGTGTGTTGTTTTCTATGGAGTTGTTCGGAATTATCGATATAAATACAATGGACTATAAATCGTAAATTTATAAAGCTAACTTAAGTGTCGTTAACTTCGATGTAAAGATACTACTGCAACATTTGAATTTTTACAAACAACCGCTTAGATGGTAGAGCCCCCCTCTACAAACAACTCTAATGAAAATTAGCTCTTTAAAGCTTAATAAGGTACAGAAAGTTTACTAATACTATATGAAGACGAAACAAAAATGATCATCCCCACTTTAGATGTACGCCAAAAAAAAATTTATTCTAAATTTTACTTTAGCACTTTGTTGGCGTAATTGACATATATACTCATGCCAAATTACAACTTTCTAGTATCAATAGTTTTTGAGCTAAGCCGCGGACGGATGGACGTATGTTTACTAAAGAAATCTAAAATTTGAGTAGTGGGATTTAATTCAAATAAACTTAAACTAACTATAAGGGCTATCCATAAAGTAAGTCACACAAACATGATTTCAACCCCCTTGACATTGTGTTTGTAGAAATTCTATTAAGAGCATAAATGCACTAGAGATTGTTTGCTGGCCGATAATTTGATTGGCCATCAACATCAATTGACAGTGTTACATTCGAAAATAATTATTCTAATGTAACACTCAATCCCCCCTAATGTGTGATATAATTTATAGATGGACCTTTATTCTAATTTTAATTACTCACTTTCCTGTGCAGCAAGCCCATTCATACAATTTGTCCAGAAGGTTTTCAACAAGTAGATATTCCAAGCATGTAGCATGATTATTAGTGGTATTGATCTCTTTTGCCCTGGCTTCGAGTACCAATAATGTACCCAGCTGTTCCAAGTGGTTAACTACACCGAGAACATCATCATGAAGGTGTTTTGGCTGAAACACCAGTTATTATGAAACTGATTTAATTAATTATAAAGGCTTAGTTATATGAATACAGTGGTTAGGTTAGGTTATTTTACTAGCTGCATCTGTAGTTTTTACAACCCACCAATTGGCACTGAGGCCACACTGAATTTTCCTTATTTAATTCTATCAATAGGAAAGACCTGTACCCAAACAATGGGGACATTAAAAGGTTGTTATTCACAGTGAAATCTGTTTATAAAGACATTAAAGGAAACTAAAAGTCATAAAGTATTGTAAGTAGGTATTCTTAGAAAATAAACAACTTTCAATTTTTATTGGGTATGTATAGCTGAGATAAATTAGCTAAATAAAAAACATAACAAATTTTCACACTGTCAGAAAGGGACTAGGTGAGTGTATGACTCTTCTATGAAATTATGTCATGAATTTATGTCAGTCACTATAACCAAACATGATTTGTAAAAATTCTCACAAAATATGTCATAATAAGCAATATGTTAGCATAAGCAGAATAATTTTAAAGGACTTCTTATATAGTATTATCTATGATAACCAAACTCAGCTCTGTATTTATATAATTTAAAAACAATTGATCAATACAGACAAAATTATAATAGATGGATTCTACTGTATACACATAGCAGTACATCAATTTTGAACTTAACTGTCAACAAATTAAGATTTGAAAAAACATTGTACACATTGTTAAATCTAAAAAAGTCAATAAAGACATTATCATTGAAAATTTATATAACAAACCTGAGATTTAATTATGATATCATTTGCTTGTTGCCAATGTTTGCAGAATGAATTATAACATGCTTGAGGTTCATAGTCATGTCGAGGATCGAGTGAACGAGAAAGCTGTCGAGCAAAAGACAGAGAAGTACTCCGCAGCCAGCTCATGTTGGCTATTTCAAATCATTCGGTCACCTATTGAAACAAACTTTATTTTAAAAAAAGGACAATAAAACTACCACAAAACATTCTATTCTTTAACACATCCTTCCATCTATGTGTGTTATCTCTCTTCACTCATAAAGAATTATCTATACTTCAAATTTCTTTATAAAATCCAACTGTCATATAATTTGAAAATTATGGTGTTAAGTTGTTAGCAAAACAACTTTCTGAATCCTTTAATATTTGGCTTCCAGAAAAGTTATCTAAAAATATATAGACACAATTTAATAGAATGGATACTATTTAAAAAAAGTAACAATCCCTCCTCATTAAAACAGTGTAATAAAGTCATTGATTGATCTTCAAATGTTCTGTAATCAAATAAACATATTATATGATATTTTCCTGTTGTTATGAACTTTATGGCAACAAATGCTAACATTATTTTTATAAGTAATTGAAATTATATTATCACAATTGTGATGTATTAAGTACAATCATGAATAAAAATATTGCTTCACTCTAACACTATAATACAATGAAAAAGCAGAATAGTAACTATGTCTTTTTAAAGATGTATATATTATTTTAAAACTTACTGCTCTTGTACAACAAGGATTAATTTTAATCCAAAAGACACATTCAGAAAAATTTAAATGCAGATTGTTTTGGGTAACCTATGTCTGGTTTTATACCAGTGCTGACCGATGTTTCAGCCTTTCCTCGATCTTGATAACCTTTAGTACACTGTTTTTAGCCTATAATTATATGTTATAGTGCTTAATGAACAAGACCTTGACATTACTGGCAAGTTTACTACTTACCCAAACACATCTAGAAGTTATATTTTTATAGAAAATACACTGAAAGTATAAAACTTACATGAACAACTTTATGAATCCAAAAATAGACCCCCAAAACAAATCACAAGAGTTACATGATACGCAATTATTCTCAGGAGGAAAATATTATCTCACTCAGACCATCAAAGTGAATCACATTCATGTATAGTAAATATATATCGTAAAAGTGAACATATTTCATTGAACTTGATAATATGTTTAAATCTCATAAAATCTGTTTCACTTTAATTCCACAAAAAGAATTAAAAAATGGAATTTATACACACACACCGACAGATTGGACGGCCCAACACAACACAGACCAATAACTAGGGATGAAAACGATACGAGTAAACACAAGTACTTACTCGATTATTTTCTTTAGATACCAAGTATTTTGGTACCCATACTTTAGAAGTGAGTAACGAACTACTTGTCAATCGTGAAGTAAGTATCTGTACTTGTTCAGTCACGCACTGAGGACAATCAAAAAACTCGCGTTCTTAAATGTTCACTCTGTGATATCGGATCTTAAGTCTGTCTCGTGAAAAATTCCCACTGGCGTTCCAAACGTATGACAACAAGACACCAACTAATTTTATATAGTCAAAAATTTATTTAAAAAAATAAATATATATATATACATATATATATATATATTGTAAAAAAAATATATATATATGTCGCAGCATTAGCACAGTGTGGCCCTATCGAATGCATAATTCTGTCCTTGTCAGAACCTGAATTGATTGTTATTATTAAAGCCATCTATCGAGTTCATTCGTAACTTATGATCGGAAACGTCAAGTGAATACTTGGGTAAGGTCGATACAGCGCCGTCGGTTGCTCTGTGTTTTTTTGACGTTTTGGGCGGAAACGGAAAGGAAAAGGGGACGTCGGATTATTCTACGGTTGTGAGAAAGATAGACGAGTATTATTTTGACGCGCTGTATCAAACTTACCGCGTTTCCGAATAAATCCATTTTTATCGATGTGTTCCTTAAATACTTAGATACGATTGTTTGTTTATTGAAGAAATACACGTGTGTGATTGTTCGAAAGACTATTATTTAGTATTTCCAAAGATGTCTGACCCTTTTGATAACGAGATTGGTAATCGCCCTCCGTTATATATATATATAAGTCTATCTATAGACAGCGCTGCCAACAAAATTTTAAAGAGATACTTAACTATATACAGCGTGTTTGGTAATACCTGTATAATCCCGAATATGGCACATACGGTATGATGAATAGAACCCAGAAAAATGTTCACTAAGTCTGAAACCCAGCACATGACCTAGATATTCAGCTTTTTTTCTTCGAAGTAAAACTGTACGCTGACAATCCTAAAAACAGCTGTTGTGTTGTATTTGGTCATCGACTCCATGTGCCGAACTAGTTTAAAAAATAACAGAAGTTAAATAAATCTAAAGATAAATGCCTAGAATAAATATGCATCCGAGAGTAACTTATTATTTCCAAACAAAGAAAAAGTTAGTAGTAAATGACTTTTAACCATAAAAAAACACTAATCTTGTGATTAACGGTGTTTCAAAAACTGTTATTAAGAAAACTTCTCTAATAATACAGTCAAAATAAAAAATAAATTGCAAATACTTTGATTGAAGTTCAATATCTGCACCATTGCTCACATTAGTCTATGCAAGAAGGAGCGACAGAGACATAAAAATGACGACGATGTGTATTGAAAAACTCGGGATTCTGATGTGTCAGTAAGGTTCTGTAGATTATTTGCTTTGAAGTTTTGTTATTTTTTTCATAAAGCCGTGTTATTTTCACGAAACAATAAAATACGGACTTATACAATGATATTAATAATCTAAGTATCTCGCTTATTCTTAGTTTAAATGATAATTAAATAAACGTTAGTTGTTATGGAAAGGTCTAATAATAAATAATATTTCTTTTCTTTTCTAATTTAATCAAAAATTTTTTTATGCTTATAATTTTGTTAATGACTTGGTCTTAAATTAGGTAACCACTTTTAATATTATGGCCTTTTTTTCTTTTGTAACCGTGAAAAACGTAAATAAAATTGTAATAATAAATAAATAGCCTCATTATCAATTTCGTCAGTAAAAAATAGTATGATAAGTTACTTTGAAATTTCATTGTTTAATTCAATAAAAAATAACGATTTTTTGTTAGGTAGGTTACGTAACACAGAATTTGATGACGCGGAACCCTAAATCGGTGCACTTTTGATTTAGGTACACTGGTGTTCGAGTTGCAATAATAATAACCTATGTAGTTTTGGTCATCGCGTCAGTCACGTCCGTGAGTTTCATCGGCGTACTTGTGAGTTTTCAGAATTTAGAAGGTCAACTTACGTTTTCGTTCTTTCGGGACTTTTGATTTGTTTTTCATTCTCGTTCTGTTTACCTGTGTGTTATGTTTGTGTGCGGTCAGTGCAATGAATTCGTACTCAAATGCCTAATATTACGAGATGATAATGTGTGGCGGTGCTTGTGGCGGTAATCTTGCTGCGGCTCGGCGGCGTTATGACGAGCGCCACGTGTCAGGAAGATCTGAAAACCATCGACGTCTTCCTTCTTACCGGTGATTCGCGGCACTTGTGAATTGGTTACATACAACTGGTTCATTCCATAGTGTGCCACAGGTAGGCCGGTCGAACACCTATTCCATCGAGACAGAGGATATGATTTTACGTCGAGAGTAACAATACACGGTCTGTGTCGAGTCGAATGGAGATGTGTGTTTTATGCGGTGGCCGGCATATCGAGACCCTGGACTGATAAAGTGGAGGTGAAGTGTAGGTAATGTTGCCAAGTGAAAGCTGAAAGAGTGATAAGAACGCTGTAGGTATGTACCTATTTAATCTTAAATTGTTTTAATTACAAGTAAACTCATACGTAGTCGAGTGCGCGCGTCGGCGACATCAAAATGTATTCTAGGAAACGAGAGAGTGAGAGGTAATGTGTGAGAGAGAGAGAGAGAAAGAGCGAGTGCGCCGGGACGGCACGTATAAGCTTACAGGGTTGTAGCATAGTAATTGAAAACAAATTGTTCAAATATTTGTATGAAAATATCAATTTACGTGAAATTGTTTTTTGACATATCAATTGTGTTCTTTGTGCTAGGTTGTATGGCCATGTTTCGGGATTATACAGGTATTACCAAACACTAACAGAGTATTGCAATTAACCATCAATAGTATCAAATCTACTATAAAAATGACCATAGTGAGATTTTTAAAATTATTAGATACGAGGAAGTATCCATACTTTTCATTCCATACTGAGTAGGTATCGATACTTCACGTCCAATGAGGTATCAAGTAAAAGTATCGATACCTAGGTGGTATCGTTCATCCCTACCAATAACTAATCTTGTATAGTTCGCGACAAACTTATTTGACAATCGAAGAAATTAACTACACGAATAAGAAAGTATTTAAAAAAAATATACTTTCCAAATCAAACTAGATCCTGCTGCAAAGAGCAAAGGGTCAAGAATCTAAACGAAATAATAAACTACAAGTTATTTATAAGCGAACTAGTTTATTTAGGAATTGCAAACTAACTCCTTAGATCGTATTTAAAAATAAAAATAATAAATAAAGCAACTAAAAATAACTAAAACTTACGATTCAAATAAATTAAAATTAATATGAAAGTTACATATTATAAGAAACAAGGAAAGGATGTCATATTTATTAATGTTCTATACTGAATTTACTTTTATTACGTCAGAAAGAAAATTTGAATGACAATTATCCGAAAATCGCTAGTGACATCTAGTTTGATTTTAAGAACTTATTTTTATTTTTTCAATACTTCCTCATTTGAGCTACCATTTTGTGACACATATTTTTGTAGTTTCTTAATTTTTTAAATACTTCTTCATTGTTAGCTTACTATTACGCCCAAGGTTTTTATGATAATTTGGAACGAGTAGGAATTAATTGTTTGAGGTTTTTATGATTATTTGGATCGAGTAGGAGTTAATTATTTGAAGTTTTTATGATAAAGTAAGTCGAGTAGAAGATGAGTTAACTGAATGGTTTATGGTATATAGTAAACAAAGTCGAGAAGAAGATAATAAAGTTTGTTATAAGATTTCAGGTTTAGAGACAGATAAGAATATATATATATATATATATATATATATATATATATATATATATATATATATATATATATATATATGTGTGTGTAATGTAAAGGGGTATACAAGAGTTAATAGAGG